GAATCTGCTAACTACAGGCTTGTGATTCACAAAACTCCAGATATACCGGTCAATGACCCGAACTCATCGATAACCTGGCATCATCGAAACCTACAAAAGGTTGGTTGCAATAATGGGAACTAATAACTTCAGGAACAAGAGCCAGAAGTGGACACTGGAAAGTAAATACATATTTTAATTACTTGGGACATACCAACTGAGCAAACTGGCATCTAATGGATGTGAATAATCAAGTTTCCTAACCGAAATGAAAATTCGTATCCTTGTGCTTTGTCCCATATGATTCAAACATATGCCCATAGTTGGTGATGCGTATCACCATTTAAATATTTGCATAAAATTAATTAAAAAAATTGATGGAGAAATAGAAAAATGATATGAAAATTAAAAAAAAAATTAATATGTAATACCACGTCACCATTGTTGTTAATGTTATTGAAGAAAATAAAGTTTAGGTACTAAAACGAAATAAAAATGATAGTATAAGTTTTAAACGCATAATTTACCCTTTAAATATTTACTTAATAAGGATAATTTAAATAGTGGTGTGATTCAACGTGTCGCTTCAGTGATATGTTACATTGTACGACGTGCGCTGTAGACTCATCCAACAATAATAATGGTATTTGTTCCAAGTTTAGCGGTTCGACTAAAAGGAAGAAAAAAATTACAAGGTAAACCGTAAATGAAACTGACTTTGATTTGATATCCTTCGGCTTTTGCTTACTTTCGAAGTTGAGATTTCATCCCATGTTAACAATGAAATACAGTGGTTATTAACTGTGAACTATGACTATCCAGCTCAGTTGGTAGAGCACAAGGTTCTTAACCTTGAGGTCGTGAGATTGAGTCTCACGGAAGGCATTTCATAATTCGGAGGTCTTCTACGGAAGCTGCTCTCAACCTAGTGTTGGGGGCAGCCTACTATCTTACCTCCCCCTTACCTCATTACATATGAAAACAAGGGACAACCATTAAATTCTATTGAAAATAATTAAAATCTTTGCATTCACCAGTTACCATATTGGGTCCACCATTTCCATGATAAGTATGCTATTAACCTATGCCGAAATCGAGTTTTAATGCTTTGGATCAAAGCTGAAGACGTAAAAGGAAGTTTAAGTTATAAAACTTAAAAGCAGAAGCAAGGTTAGTTCCTTTCTTGCTAGTAATCAACTCTGGAAAAATGGGGGTCAAAAAGTGTTGAGGGAGAAAGACAATCTCAATTTCAAGTGGAAAAAAACACTGTGATGGGCTATGTTTGCCTTGTTCCTTTATTACTGGCTTCCTAGTTCCTATCCTAAACTCGATTAATCACTTAAACATCAGCCCCTTTATATTTGGTTTAGCGGTAGTTCCTCCTAAAGCCCATTACTCTGGAACTCTCACCAGAAATCAACTTTTATCTTCACAGCTTAGACTCTATACAAGCCAATTGACACAATAACAGCAGAGCAATGACTTCCCTTATCTAACAACTTAGAGAGAGAATATAAAGGATCTATCTAAAAAACTATAATAAAAGTAACAAGAACATCTCAAAAATGCAACAAAAACATTGGATTCATTCAGAAACAAAATATTCGATCCTCAAGAATCTATGTAGGAAAAAAAGGTCAACGTTAATATCCCTATCTGAGATCCGAGTATTGTCTTAAAACAGGTAAAATGAAGGCAGCCAGATTGCTTTATTCTGCTCCATTGATGAAGCAAAAAATCACATGATACGAAAATGACATCTGCAATAGTTCAAAACCACCAACAAATTAGTAAATATTTAAAAACTAAGCAGTCAGCTCTAAGAAGTTTATCTTTGCAGTTCACACACATGTTAAGAAAAAACTTACTACATTCATTACAGCAATAATCTACAAATCACACTTATCTCCCCTACCTGATTGCTTTAGAAAATATTATTACTGTTAATGACCCAAATCATTAATTTCTGACGTCAACCCTTTCTTGGAACTGAGTAGTCATTTTTATTTTTATTTTTTCACTTCCACTACTGTAAGTTGTTTCTTCAGCAACAATCTAAAATGAAGGTATTTATAAACTGATATGATCTGTGATTTAATGCTAGTACAAATAAGCAGATCAAGTAGAAGTGGCATACCCTAGCAAGCCCCTGCCTTGCCATGTTCTAGGAGTCACTGACAGATTAAACAATGCTCCTTGTCTCATGACTGTGACAGGTATGGGAAGACCCTGATTAACCTGAGCTTCAGAAGCAAGTTGTTGTAGCAAATTATCACCAGCTTTCACATTACCAAATTTAACAATCTGGTCTCCAAGTTGTAAACCACCTTCAGCTGCCGGAGATGCATCAGCTATTTCATCAACAATTGCAAAGGGCATACCAGAAATCAAGTCCACGTCATTGGCACCCCGTGAATCTCTCGAAACAATGTTTTGCAAGGCCCCCGATGCACCAGCACTGGAATCTGATGCATTTTGATTCATTTCAACACCTATCAGATTGGTGAATTGGTATGACTTACTTTAATTGGAAGGCATGAATTGATTGAAAGAATATAGCACAAAATCATTTATCTAAACAAATGGTGCAATAAATTAAGCCTAACCTGAATCTTTAGGGGTTGAAGTAAGTTTTGCAGAATGCAAAAGTTGAATATTAACGTTTATTTTCTCTGTAATTTCCCCATGATCGTTTTTCAATTCTGCTCAAATTAAGCAACAAAATTTGCTAACTTTGTTAATACTTAATACAGACCTTCCTCAAATTCACTACTATTATTTTAATGAATGAAAAATACTAAAATAGAGGATACCAGCAAGACGATGTCGTTGTGCTAGGACATATGGGATGTCAATATCAGCACGAGGAAACCCCTGGAAAGTACAAAAACCCTAATATCAGGAAATAGATAAGACTGAATTTTGAATCCTAATAACGAAATTAACGTAGTAGGTAAATGTATATGAGTATTCAAGAAGAAGAAGAAGAAGAGGAAAATACTTCGGAATCGACGAGGTTGCCGGAGAGACCAGGACCCCCAGGTTGAGAAAGCTGCTCAATTATGGCGTTCATCTCAGCCTCTATTCCACTCCTCTTATCCATGAGCTTCAGTGTCTCCGATTTAAGATTTGCCCCAACCATTGTTCTTTTTTTTTTTTGTACTTTTTCGTGTTCTTCTGAAGCGGTTTAGATTTAACTTGGCGGAAATGACGATCGGGTTTTGAAATCGGCTGCTCGGAGGGGAGACGTGTAAGGGGAAGGCGCGCGATGTGGGCTGAGATAAAATTGATTGGGCTCAGGGAAAAAATATGAAAACCTTTTTTAACATTCCACCACCCTCGCTCTATATTAATATATAAATTTATTTATAAAATATTTTATACTTAATATAAAAAAATATCTACATTATACATCTTTTTTATTTAAATTTTTAATTTTTTCAAATAATATGGTGATTAATATTACAAACCCTATCATTTAAATGTTTTGACCATAATGAATATTAAAATTTCGTTAAATAATAAATGTTGTATTTATTTTTTTTATTTTTAATAATAAAAACATTATTTAAAAAAATTAGTTCCCGTCACACGTCGTCGTCCCTCCTCCCCTATCACATCTTTTTTTTTTTTGTTGATAAATTCCCCTATCACATCTTCCCTTACGCTGCATAGTAACTTTTCCTAAATATTAATCGCATAGTAACTTTTCCTAAATATTAATCGCGTCAAATGACCAAAGTCCGATGGTAATCAAACGGGCGGTCGACTGCCATTGTCATTATTATTTTAAACTATCAAATAAAAATATTTAAATATTTTTTAATGATTTGAATATTTGAGACTTTAGAAATTTAAAAGATTGGAGTGATTGTCGGTTACTGATGAATAATGATAGTTGAGATGATTAAGATAACGACGACGATGACTGATGCTTGAAGTTAATTATAAGAATAATCGCTTTTGTTCTATTTTTTTTTCATTTCTTATTATTAATTTTAAATGAGTTGTATTTTAATCATTTACGTATTGATTTATTAAATTTTAATCAATGCTGACTATTGTTATGTTTTAATCATTGAAGTATTATACATTTTCATTAACTTTATGATGTGATATGTTAATCATATAATTTAATTTTTATTTAAACAAATCCAACACCTTAATCATACTTAGGATTGGATTATCGTACCTAATCCAGAGATTGATGATTGATTATTTTAAGGATGGTGGACATGTATAATTTCGTAGATTTCGTACCGTACTCATTCCAATTGGGGCGGGGATGGGTATAAGTTTAATGGGTAATGGGCGGGTATGGATGTAAAAGTTATATCCGCCGTGGGTAGTTGATGGGTTTGAAACCTTACCTACCCCGCATCCTCCCGCCCCACATCCGCCTGTCTCATATCCGTCCGCCCAATAACTGTTATGTAAATTTTAAGATTTTATTAGACATGAGTTGTAAATTAACCAAATGTTAGGATATAAATATTTTTAGAATCGTCATTTCTTCTATCTCAAATTGACGAGTATGGGTTAATACATACCGGTATGGGATGAGTGGTAAGTATCCACATAGATTTAAAAATATATACATATGGATGAGTGTGGATTTAAAAATTTTACCCATTGTAAATGATAAATAGGTGACGGATACAAAAATTCTAGGTGAATACGAGGATGGGGAAGACCCCAGCCGTCCTTCCCGTTTGCCATCCCTAACATATTTGGATTATCCCCTTTAATAATTTGTTTGGTTTATGGAAAAGAAAGAAATAAAAGCCATCAGAATCATACACGTTTTAGAGGTCCAAACAAATTTGCTTTTCTGGGATATTAAGAATTATTTCTCTTGCACTTATGTGGAATAAAAACGGGTTCTTCAATTTGAAAATTTCCTTCTCAGAAACAGACTGACACAAACTCAAAAAACATATGTAAACCAACGACAATCAGAGAATTAAAAAAATCAAACAAATAACAACGAAGAAAGAAGTTACTATTACCCAAATGTTCAAGGAGAGTCACCGTCAAGGTCACCTGATGAAAATCAAGACCGTGTGTCGATAATCAGAGAATTTAAATCCAACCGTTGGTGACTAGGGGAGGGAGGGTCCTCTCTATAAACATATAGTTACAGACTTCTCTTCCCAGGGATTCATTTCTCGTGTTTACCAATAAGCCACCCTTTTTCTTCTCTTCATTCTTCGTTCACAAACAAGACATTTCAATTCGGCAAGGTTTTGTTTTTTTTTTCTTTCTAGTTCCTCGGGAAAGTGGGAATTCGGGCGACGTATATAAATCCGGTTAAAACCCATGGCTGGTCATAGGTTTGACGTCGCATGGATCTTCTCTTTGTTAGCTTTCTTCTTCTTTCGAGCCCATTGTTTCTACCTCCCTGGCGTTGCCCCTGAAGATTTCCAAAAGGTCAGTTTCATCACATGCATGCATGGGCCTTGAATTATCATGTATATTGGATCTTTAGGTTCACTTGGATTCTCCTCTCTGTTATTGGGTTTCATTTAGATCTGCGTTTAATTATCTCTAGAATTACCGTTTACGTTAAATGAATTTGGATACGATGAGTCTTTGGAAGTTGCTTAAGTTTGTTTTTATCAATACCATAATTGAAGACTATTTATGATATTTGAATGTTGATTAAAAAGCTTACTGGATCTTCCATTCTCGATAATCAATCTACGGGCTCTCTGCTTTAACCAAACTGATGACTGATGGTTTAATGTAGTTTTGTTCAATGTTGTTTTCTCTCCATTTATGCAGGGGAGTCAATTGTTGGTGAAAGTGAATAAGCTGACTTCAACAAAAACACAACTTCCTTATTCCTATTATTTCCTACCCTTTTGTCAGCCTGAGCATATAGTTGACAGTGCAGAGAATCTTGGGGAAGTCCTTCGTGGTGATCGAATTGAAAACTCTCCTTATGTGGTGAGTTTGGACTCCAAAATCACTTCCTTATGTCCCTTATCTGTACTTTGTTTTTTCAATGATTAGAGGAATCTTCTGTTTGCAGTTCAAAATGGGAGAACCGCAAATGTGCAATATTGTGTGTCGAAAAATTCTTGATAAAAAAGTTGCAAAGGCATTCAAGGAGAAGATCGATGATGAGTATCGAGTTAACATGTGAGGAACTCATCTCGATATCTTAATTTTAGTTTCCTTTTATTCTTTTGAGTGGTAACTGATATTTATCATATGTCTGTGACAGGATTTTGGATAACCTTCCACTGGTTGTTCCTATAAGGAGGCCTGATCGGGAAAATGCTGTAGTGTATCAGTATGGATATCATGTTGGTCTCAGAGGAAAGTATGCGGGGGTAAGTTCTAGATTGGTCAGCATCTGTTTAGAACAATTTTTATCATATTTTCATTTGATAATGCAAGCAATGCTGCTTTGGTTTCTTGCAGAGCAAGGAAGAAAAACATTTTATAAACAATCACTTGACATTTACAGTCAAGTATCACAAGGATCCATTGTCAGACTCTGCAAGGATTGTTGGATTTGAGGTCAAACCATTCAGGTCAAAAAGAACGTTCTTTATGTTAGAGGCATATTTATTACCACTGGTTTCCTTTTCTACTTTTCTTACCAAGCCGTTTTGATACACATGCAATACAGTGTTAAACATGAATATGAGGGTGAGTGGAATGAGAAGACTCGTCTGACAACTTGTGATCCCCATGCAAAACGTGCAGTTACTACTTCTGAATCTCCTCAAGAGGTTGAAGAGAATAAGGAGATCATATTTACTTATGATGTTGAGTTCCAGGTCGGCAACACATTGCTGCTTGTTACAGTCTGGTCAGTCTCTATGATGATATTTCATTCTAATCAACAAGCTACTTGTTGTCATCTTGCAGGAAAGTGATATAAAGTGGGCATCCCGATGGGATACCTATCTTCTAATGGCTGATGATCAGATCCATTGGTTCTCAATTGTTAATTCTTTGATGATTGTAATTTTCCTCTCAGGGATGGTGGCTATGATCATGTTACGAACTCTTTATCGGGATATCTCCAAGTACAACCAACTCGAAACTCAAGAAGAAGCACAAGAGGAGACAGGGTGGAAACTGGTCCATGGAGATGTTTTTAGGCCTCCAACAAATTCTGACTTACTCTGTGTGTATGTTGGAACAGGGGTTCAATTTTGTGGTATGATTATTGTTACCATGATCTTTGCTCTCCTTGGTTTCCTATCCCCTTCAAATAGGGGTGGGTTAATAACAGCCATGCTTCTACTCTGGGTCTTCATGGGCCTGTTTGCTGGATATTCCTCGGCTCGTCTCTGTAAGCTGTTCAAGGGAACCAAATGGAAGAAAGTTACACTCAAAACAGCATTTATGTTTCCTGCAACAGTGTTTGCTATATTCTTTGTCCTGAATGCTCTGATATGGGGCCAGAAGTCTTCAGGGGCAGTACCATTTGGAACCATGTTTGCATTGGTATTGTTGTGGTTTGGCATCTCAGTCCCACTTGTTTACGTGGGTAGTTATTTTGGTTTTAAGAAGCCAGCAATAGAGGACCCAGTGAAAACTAATAAGATCCCTAGGCAAATTCCAGAGCAGGCTTGGTACATGAACCCAGCCTTCTCCATCCTACTTGGGGGCATACTTCCATTCGGGGCTGTTTTTATTGAGCTCTTTTTCATCCTCACTTCAATATGGTTGCATCAGTTCTATTATATATTTGGCTTCCTTTTCATTGTCTTTGTCATTCTTATTGTCACTTGTGCCGAAATCACAGTAGTACTCTGCTACTTCCAGCTATGCAGTGAGGATTACCGATGGTGGTGGCGGTCATACTTGACTTCGGGTTCTTCAGCACTCTACTTATTCCTCTATGCTGCTTTCTACTTCTTTACGAAGCTCGAGATCACAAAGCCAGTATCTGGGGTTTTATACTTTGGTTATATGTTGATAGTATCGTATGCATTCTTCGTGCTCACTGGTACAATCGGTTTCTATGCTTGCTTCTGGTTCACAAGGCTCATCTACTCGTCTGTGAAGATTGATTGATCTGATATTGCAACTTAAGAAAAACTGCTAGTCCGTTTCACTACAAGGATGTTCAAATTATCCGATATAGAATCAGAAATTCAGGACATCCCCATTTGGTTCGAGTTTTGAATCTTTGATCATAAAACTGTTAGTTTTCTTAAACTTCTCCATACAGGTTCCTTGGCTGTTTCTAGTTATGTTTATTTGCTAATTGGTTCCACTAATTTACTGTATTGTATGAGACCCTTGAGAAACTGTTGAGCAAAAATTGAAGCATCCATGTATTCACAAGCACAATAGTGCTTTGTTTATCCCTGCCATTCTGTCAAGAAAAAAATTCAAAAATTGTCCTTTATGGAAAATAAAAGAAGTTATCAATTCGTATATCTAAATTGTCTATCCTAATTTATTTATTTATTTATTTTAGATGTATCGAAGTTTCAGACATAACCACTTGGGACTTACCCCTTAAACTTGGAAAGCATTCTCTGGTCAGCAAGTCAAAAAAGGAGAGCATACAAACTAATAGGAAAAACAAGTGATGAAAGCATGGGAAATCAAGGCAATGCAGAATCTGAGCCGGGTTCAGGTGTACAACTGCTGGAGTCGAGCAGTTGGCTTAACTTTATTGTGTGAAACTGCATAACTGACGGTGGACTCCGAGTTGACAGCTCCCGAGAAACTTGTTGCATGGTTGGTCGAGATTGTGGACTGGCATGTAAGCATCGAGATGCTAGTTTTACAATTGTGACCAGTGTTGCTGCCGTTCGTTTCCTTGGAGATGGAAGACGCTGGTCTAACAGATCTTTCAGTAGTAAATTACTGAATGACGCAGATGATGAACATGATGGGGAGACCGAAGGAAATGACGATGACAAGAAATATATTAGATCCCCAGGGTGCCTTCCCATAAGTGTTTCCAGTGTCACTACTCCAAAGCTAAAGACATCGCATTTTTCATTCACTTGCATAGCATACGCAAGCTCTACAAAAGAAAAGGCGAGCTCAATTGCATGATTACGACTTTAGCTTGTGTTGAACAGTTTGCTTCAACGAAATTCAGAACAATTACAGATTAAGAAGAAAAAAAAAGATGTAAAGAAAAGACAGGAAAACATACCTGGAGCCGAGTAACCAAGAGTGCCTCCAAATTGGGTCCAATTTAAGGAGTCAGGCTTTAGCAACCGAGCAGCGCCAAAATTTGCAACATGAGCCTCATAGTCTGAATCTAGAAGAATGTTCTTGCTTGAAATGTCACGATGGACTATAGGAGGGGAGTAGTCATGGTGCATATTTAGCTATGCCTTTAACAACATTTACCCGCTTAATCCAATCAAATTGCATTGCTTGTTCATCAGTCCTTAGTATCTTATCCAGGCTTCCTCCTTCTAAAAACTCGTATACCAAAATTGGGTGTTGGGGATGCGAACAGAAACCATGAAATTTCAGAATATTGCGATGACATATTTCAGTCAAGGCCTGAATCTCACTGTTAAAAGCTTTTTGATCTGAAACACCACCTTCCGGATGTGGGTGAAATTTTTTCACAGCAACCTTTGGTCATTCGACAATTGTGCCTTGTAAACGCTGCCATATCCCCCAACTCAAATGCAGTATTTAGAGTCAAATTCTTCAGTTGCATTAACTATGTTTTCGTACATCACTTTTCCATCATAGTTGCAAATTGCAAACATATCATCACTTACTACCATCATTGGCTTGTAGTCGGTCTTCCTCTCTCTTCGTTGTGAAGAAGAAAGAATCGCAAAGACAACAAATACGAGTAGTAGTGTGCACAAAATAGGGATTACAGTTGCAATCACAATTTTGCTATTTATTTTCCGATCAACATTATGGTTTAAATTTGAAGAACATGCTTCCAAACCTGTGATATTTCCGCACAAGCCTTTGTTGTTTCGGAAAGCCAGAAATGAAGCCTCTCGAAAGGCCTTGTTGTCTGGAAGAGGACCTTCCAACTAATTGCAGGATACATCAACGGATGTTAAGCTCGACATATAATGAAAAGTTGAGGTAACAAAACCAAAGAGCATATTGTTAGATAGGTTCAGCTTTTCTAAATATTTCAAGTTCCCAATTTGCTCCGGTATTTTACTCGTCAGCAAATTATGACTGATATCAAGAACTTGAAGAAAAGATAAGCCGCCAACCTCAAAGGGAATTCCTCCACTCAATCTGTTGACACTCAAATTCAGTTCCAAGAGTTTCTCACACTGACTCAAACTTTTCGGAATGGAGCCAGGTAAGTTGTTTGCTCCCAAGTTAAGACTAGCAAGAGCATATCGCAATCCGAATTGTGGAGGAATACTGCCTGAAAGATGATTATCATTCAACACGAGGTTGAACAACAATTTTAGCTCTCCCAGTTCCTTTGGAATGCCCCCAGTTAGATGATTTGAAGAGAGGTCCCATGCTTGTAGCTGAGCTGCCTTTCCAAGTTCTGAGGGTATCTCACCGGTGATATTATTGTTAGAGATCCTTAGGCTTGTTAGCTTGTGGCACTGACCCCATTTTGATGATATCTCACCAGTCAATTCATTATATCTCAGATCAAGATAGTTTAGGTTCGGGTATATGCCTAAATCTTCAGATAGATTCCCAGTAAGTTTATTGCGTTCAAGCCGAACTACATATAAGCTGGTACAGTTCTTCAAGGTCTTGGGAATTGGACCCGTGAAATAGTTGTTATATGCATTAAAATATTTAAGTACTCCACCAAGGCAAACTTGATGTGGTAAATGGCCAATCAAGAAGTTTTCAGATAATTCAAATTGTGTCAAACTTGTAAGATTGTTCATCTCTTCTGGAATGAAACCACTGAGACTGTTGGTGAACAACCTCAAGTCAACAAGGGACTGGAGCTTACCAAATTAATTCATTGCGATCCAGTACCAATTCAATGAGATTGGTCAAGTTTCCAATACTGGAAGGAACAAATCCCGACAGTGCATTGGAGAAAAGGTGAAGATATATCAGATTTTTCAAGTTTCCAATAGAAGCAGGGACGGATCCCGAGAGATTTGCTTCTGACAAGTAAAGGTCAGTGAGTGATATCATTATTCCCATCTCTTGCGGAATTGACCCATGAATGTTCTTACTGCCAAGGTAAAGGTAATATACTTTGGTCAAGTTTCCAATAGAGGGAGGGAGGGATCCCACCAAATTATTGTCAGAGAGATCAAGTCTATTTAAGGACTTCAACATTCCAATTTGTTGAGGCACAGAACCAGAAAACTTGTTTTTGTATTAGAAAAGAGTAACCAAGCCCGTCAAGTTTCCGATAGAAGCCGGAATTTCATTGGTAAGATTATTATTGTACAAATAAAGCTCTGTAAGAGAGCCTAGCATTCCAATTTCTTTTGGTATAGACCCCGAAATTTTATTTCCAGAAAGGACAAGATGAAATAAGTGGGTTAAATTCCCAAAAGGGGGGTCGAACCTGTAAGCATGTTTTCAAACAGGTAAAGCTCCGAAACAGAGCTTAAATTTCCTATCTCAAATGGAATATTTCCAGAAAGATAATTGGAAGACAAGTCCAGGTAGTTTAATCTAGATAGGGTGCCAACATGTGATGGAATGGTTCCATTGAGATAATTGTAGCTAAGATCAAGAACAGTAAGTTAGGGGAACGAAGAGAATCTAAAACTATGAAGTGTACCTTGTAAGCCGGAGCTTGAAAGGTTTAACTGGCTGACCCTTGTCGAGTTGCCACAAATGATCCCAGTGCAGTTACAAGGGCCGTTTCCATCCCAAGAAGAGAGGAAAGACCGACTCTGATTATCAAGACTGGCCTTCCACTTTAGAAGAGCATCGGCTTCTTTCTGTCTTGTTGGTGATTCGTCTCTGAAAGTGCCGGAAAACTGAACCAAAGACATGCAAAGAAGAAACCAGCAGCAGCAGGGTGGAAAAGGAGAAGAAAACCTTGAATGATGAAGATGTTAACTTGTTGATAAAAGATACAATAGCTTAAAATTGGTAGGGCATGTATTGGTCACACTCAACTCTAAAGAGGCTCTCAACAATCCTTTTCATACTCAAACATTGAATCGAAATTTAAAAGATCGAAAACCAGAAAGACAAAAAGAGTATCCTAAATTATTATTAATACTTAGCTAAAAATATCCAATTCTAATATTTACATAAATAAATTAATAAATTACTATTATTTCATATATTGAAAATACAATTCACTACGTTAAAATCATATCAATTGTCTTGGCAAAAATGCTGGAGTAATTTTTTTTTTTTGATTTATATTCATTATATTGGACGTTAGAAATCGGTCGAATCACTTAACATCTTTTGTAGAACAACCAAAACATACATCTTTAAAATTTTCATCTCTGAAACATTAGGACTCGTCTCCCTCTCTACTATTGTTATACTCGACCAAAAATACCATGATTGACCTACCAAAAACAACGGAGATGAAGAGTTTGAAGGCGTCAAATATTTCGACCAACTTCCCAAAAACATGTATATTCTAGACGACTTACCCCTTCTGTATTCATTTCACCCTACTTCAAAAAAATAATTTTTCACCGTCATATATAAAAAAATTTCATCTAAACAATTTGTCATTCTCCATTATATATTCTAAAAAACAAATATTTATCACCATTTCAATTCTGCATGTGAAAAAAAATCCACTGTCAATATACTTGATAATATAATCCAATTTTATAATATATAAACCAAATATAGGGTAAACTAAAATTTCATCACTCAACTTTAGCTTGACTCCTGTTTTCGTCACTAAATTTTAATTTTTTTTTAATTTGATCACTCAATTTTAGAAGTTCCTATCCACAGAAGTCTATTTATGAAACTGGTCACTAAACTTTAAAATTTTTCAATTTGATCACTCAACTTTAGAAGTTCCTCTCCAGAGAAGTGTCCTCATTTCATTTTTTTTGAGTAAACCTTTCATCAAACTGAATCTATGGGGAGAAAAAGGCAAGGTAACTGAAAATAAAGACTAGCTCGATGTGCAATAATAAACTGAAATGTGGTCCTGAAACAAGAGAAGAACAATTTCAAAACAACTTACCATAAAATCCACTAAAAACAAAACTATAACCCACTAGCAATCGGTTATGTACGTGATACAAACATGAGAATTTTGTGGTACTGCATTGCATAAACAATCCACAACTTATATTTCTCACTACCGCTAATAAAGAAGATACAACAAACCAAAGAACACAGAAGAATAAATAATTGAGAGACATGAAAAAGATAAATGAGTTTACCATTCTACCCAAAGACAGACAAAGGTTCCTCTAGATATCTCTCCTTAGATTATTTGGAAGGCTTGGAACCAAGTTTTCATCTTCAGCACCGTGTGTCTCCAACCACTTATATTGGTCAAACAGTCTTACTAGTTCCCAAAGGTACTGGGGAAGCATCCGAAGATGCATCTGAAGTTCCAGTGGCGGATCTAGAAATATTTTTTAGGGTGGGCAAAAATGAACTAGCAATACAAAACTTTTTAATTGGAGGGCACAAATAAAATTTCAGGGTGGGTACATCAGTAAAATAAGGAACTAACCAAAGAAAATTCGGATTTCAGGGTAGGCACATACCCACCTTCAAATATACGTGGCTCCGCCACTGTGATGTTCCGAGTCATGCCTCTTGATCCTCATTTCTTCCAGCTGAGTGGTAATAGATTGAAGATAGGCATGTTTACGACATCGAAAGCAACCACAATTCCAGAAGAACCTGGAGAGGTCAATGAAGCTTCAAGAGCTTCACAGAAGTAAGTCATTGGTTAGATAAAGCACGAAGATTCATCTGCATGTTTCTGGTCACAAGTGCAAAGAGTCTAAAAATAGCAAGTGCTATGGAGAGTATAACCTCAACAGGATCGGTACTAGTTTGAAGCCCCTGGCTAAGGGTGCTGCAAAGACATTGAGGAAAAAACAGAAGAATCTTGGTAATCAGAAGAGGCAAAATTGATGGTTCAATTTTATAAAAAAAATAGACTTCAGAGCCATGCAAGCATCATTTACATAACTGATTCATTTTGACATTATATGTAGCTGAAATTTAATGGACAGTTAACAAATACCTTCTGAAACACAACACATATTTCTATTTTCTTTGAGGCCATTTGAAAAATGAATAAGCATGCAGGCTAAGCACAAGATTATATTTGTATTGCATTCATTATTATCAACTGCGTAACAAGCCTTCTTCCAGCATACGTCGTTCCGTTCAACGGCTACTCAAGTAACAACCATAATTTCAGTGGAAGTCTCCACTTTCCTTGTTCTTATATCGTTGGAAGTAATAATGGCAGTTAATTTGAATCCATTCGCTTCTCTCTTCAATTATTTTCAACGTTTTCAGTATTCTAAGAATCATATTAGTCGCTTTAGTGAGCTCTTATTCGAACGAAACATTCACTAAAACGCAATAAAAGAAATAATTAAAGAAAACAGTGGACTTCTTGATCGGAAACTCATTGTTCAAACTTTAGTTCATCAAAATCAAACCAATAGAATGCATAATTTCTACGTTAAAGTAACACAATCAGATTTTTAAAACAAAAGAAAAAGCAAAAATAAGAATCCAACCGAAATTCTTGAAGTTAACTTCAAAAATGAATAAAGTAAATTACAGATAAACTAAAAACAAAAAAAAAAGATCACAATTAGGCGCCGCGCGACTGATGAAGAGGAGGAAGAAGACAAAGCAAGAAAATTAGTAGGAGAAATAGGAAGGTGAAAATATCATTTAGCGAGATCGCCTGACATAAACGAGAAAGGGCGTCAAAAAGACCGAACTGTCCCTAAGAGTTCGGTTTTATGGTTGTCGTCATCGGTTTGGATATCGGCTGATTTACGGACCAAATTCCAAGAGAGTTACTATTACAATTAGAATGCTTTAGGGTTATATAATAATACAAAATTTAAATATTTTATTAAAAAAATTAAAATATTTTAAAATAAAACAATTTTTAAAAATAATATTCCATTAACTGTAAAGATCAACGCGGTCAAAAGGGATTAAGCGAAGGAAGTTAAAAGTTGGCTTGCGACGCCTTGCATTTGCTGAGCCTTAGCATAACACATTATCTTCGCCCGGCCGCCACGCCATCATATAAAATATAAAAGAACAAATAGAAAGGCATGAGAATATGAACTCTTCATGGTATTTATTGCCTCAAACTGAAAGTATTGTCTCAGAAAATAATACATAGCCTAAACGTGTTCAGTCCATGGAAGGCAAAATTTTGTGTGGGACTCTCCCAAAGCACGCTAGATATGCAAGACGTGATAATAACAGAATGTTTGGATGCCAATTTCAGGCTGCAGTTTGGCCAACTTCATTGTTAACTTAACCGTCGAGATCACATAAGATCAGATCCCTCTGAGTCCGTCAGATGCAAAATGCAAGCGACAAAAGGCAGTAGTTGATCACATATTACTAAACATTGCTAGTTCGAAATTATAAAACCTGCAGAAAGACGGTTCAACAAAGAAGAAATCACACTTCAAGAAGAAGAAATTATCCTGATGTTGAACATGTTTCACTAACTTCTGAAAGGACAACCTTGATCCATATTCAACAGCAATAGGATGTCCTATAACGAGACATCACTTTTTTTCCCAAAGAGAAACATATTGAAGTCTAAAACAAGAAAGAAAGGAGAAAAAGACTGCACAATCGCACCTTATTCTTTTATATTCCTCGAGTCAGCATCAAAGGATAAGTATGAGCCAAAAAAATCAAACAGGTGTCATAGTGGCCACTTTCTCAGCCTTGACACTTGAGCGTATCTAAAATTGTGTTTCTAGCCACTTGGCGTAATATTTCTGGATCACTTTCTTCGATCGGTTTATGAATAATAACTTTCACAGATCCTGAATTTACAACACCCTCCATTCCTGCAGGCATGATTCGGCCTGTGCCAATTAAGGTTATAAGAAAGACAGGCCCCCAGTTTTTGCAGCCACACTGAATGCACCTTTCTGCCAATTATGACCAAGAAAAAAATGAGCTTTTGAATCAATAGCTGCATTTTAAAATTGTTAGGAATTTTCCATGATGACCTAGAAAAATCCTCCTGATTTTCCATAGACTTAATCGGCCAATCAAACAATAGAATTCTAGGATTATCTCACCTTGAAATCACCTAACTTCCCATCCTTGCTCCGTGTGCCTTCTGGAAAAAAAAAGACAGAGGCACCATTCCTGACGAGATCCATACATCTCTTAAGACATTCCTACACGCACAACAGTAATAGAATTCAAACCCATACTACAGTCAAAAAAAATCAAGCATGCAAAGTTAAAACATAATATTACATATACTAATTGTGAATTGCCATCTAAATAGAAATGCTAAACAGATCAATCCTATATTGCAATCTAAAGAATGGTAACAGAAAAGGCGAAAAGGGAATACCAACTGGCTTCTGCTGTCCATGCGCTTTAATGGAATTATACCCATCATAGACATGGCCCACCCAATAATGGGAAAAAGAAATACCCCCGTCTTGCTGATGAACTTGTAGCTTCTTCCAAGAGAAAGAAGTGTATAGATGTCTAAAAAACTCTGGTGGTTGGAAACATATACAGCAGGAGCATCATGTGAGGGCAAATTCTCCAATCCTTCATACTCAATTTTAAAAAACAGAGCAACAGTTGCTGAAGCCCAAAGTTTGGCAATAGAATGCTGAGCTTTTCTTCTGTAGCGATCAAACAAGAGCACAAAGGGGTGCACCACTATCATAAACTCAATCAGTGAAATGGCTGCAATAGCTGTGACGACATAAAAGCATACTCCTCTAACTTTTGAAGATAGTTTAACTTCTGCATTTTAAGAATTGACTAAATATAAAATTCCGAGGGGCATGAGCTAAAAAGAGAAAACTCAAATAGTTCAATGACCAAGCAGCTTTCCATGAACACCTGATAAAGAATACATAGCATCAGGCATCCCAGTCCCAGCAAGTTCGGATTTCGCTACAACATATCTGGATAATTTGTTCACATTATTTAATTTACTAATTGAACGACTATTTAAACCCTCATTTGGACTAAAATAACACCGAGTCTTGCCGTCATGTGTCCTTGAAATATGCAAAAAGTTGTTTTGAGCAGCTGCCAAAATAAAGGAAAAATGCAAACAATGTAAACCATAATAAAGAAAGAATACTCATATACATAATGAAATACCAAACCCTAACTTGGCATCCACCACCAAATAACCATTTGTACTGTAGTACAAGAACAACTTAGTCCCAATAAAAGAATCCATTAACATGTTCCAAAAATATCCTGAATGTACAAATAATCACTTTGCAGAGATTTTACAGTGCATTCACATGTTTGCAGCATCAAACATATAGAAAATGGTCCTAGTAAAAATCAACTTACAGCTACATGACTTTGTCAAAGTTGCTCGTTTACACACAGAGTAGCCAAAATAAGCACATTTAGGACCAGAAAACAGCATTGAACAACAATATATTAAAACACTGTTATAAACCAAATCATAGAGGAAAATAAAGGGGAAAAAGAAAACAATCCCAAAATTCTCTCATTATAGCACCCACCGGCACAAGTTTTTTAAAGGTGCAAAATTGATTAAAACATTTCAAACTGAAAAGATCAAACAAATCAATAAAAGCTGAAAATTTGGTGGAAAGGCTTGTTTTCCCCTCAATTAAGAGACCGTAAAGTTCCACTCAACTTTTCTTAATGCAATCAGATTTGAACGGAATCAAATAGATAGCAAACGAAAAACATACCGGCAAGATAGGCAGCACAGAGGAACTACTGGGCATTGGGTAACCTGAAAAATGGGGTGGTGGATGATAAATACGTACAAAGAATACAAATACGAATATGGGAAAGTATAGAAGTACGTAACTTACGGAGAGAGAGATTTGAGAGGGAAGAGAGTTCCATAAGGAGTTAGAAAAACTGTAAAGACTGGGAGATTTGGGCTGATCCGAAATATGGTGTTGATAGATTGCCAATTTCAAGGCCTATTGAAACCCCCACTTGTTTAGAGGGATAGATGAGAGGTAAGAGAGCTCCATGATGAGTGAGAAAAAGGAATTCAAAAGCCTGGGAGATTTGGGTGTTGCGAAATATGTTGTTGATAGATTGCCAATTTCAAGGCCTATCAAACCCCCACTTGTTTATTATTATTTTCTCTTTTGCCTCTGTTTTTTTGTGTGGAAATTCTACGGTACTGCTGAAGAAAAGCTTTCTAGTATTTCCTGTAAATCGAACATGTCTGAAATTGTTCCAGGCCCAAACCTAACTCGGCCACATCTTGAATATAGTTAAAGTAAATTATACATTTAATACTTAAATTATTAATTTTAATTTATTTTAATATTTAAATTTTTAATTTTTTTAAAATTATATCTAATATTTAGTTTTTGTTTTATTTTAGTACCTCGTCATTAAAAATTTAATGGTTACATCATTCATCACTCAAGTACATTCTCACTCCTATTTTGGTACTGAAGTTTAAAAAAATTCAATTCAACTACTCAACTTTCAAATTGCTCCTATTTTAATCATTCTAATTTATTTTATTGGAGTAATAATTTTTTTTGACATGCCATTTTTTATTATTATTTTATTAATATATAATTAAAAATAAATTTGAAATTTAGAGTAATTAAATTAGGAGTAATTTGAAAGTTAAATTAAAAAAATTAAACTTTAGTGACCAAAATAAGAGTGAGAAGATAATTGAGCAATTAGTGATACAATTTACCCATAAAAAAGGTGGCACGTGACCTGTTGAGTTTCTAACGACAAGGTACTAAAACAAAATAAAAATTAAACATTAGACATGATTTTAAAAAAAATAAAAATTTAAGTACTAAAATAAACCGAAACTGATAGTTTAGATAAAAAAAAAAACTCATAATTTACCCTTTACTTAAATACCACTATAGTCTTGGACCAGTAATTCTACTGGACACCACACTCCTACATATTTTTATCTCGCTAAATTAAAAAATTACTTAAATTATTAATATTAACCCTTACTTAAATACCACTGTAGTCTTGGACCAGTAATTCTACTGGACACCACACCCCTGCATATTTTTATCTCGCTAAATTAAAAACTACTTAGATTATTAATATTAACCAGTCACAAACTGAACCAATTGATTGACCAATGAATACGTTGTTAATAAATTAAAAAAAAATTATAAATAAATATTATCTTTTAATTGTTCATTTTGATTATAATAAAAAAAGAAAAAGCTAGTCGGACCGATGAGGACAAGTGGGGGCAGTCGTCTCCCTTAAAAATTTAAAATTATCATATATTTAAAAAAATTATATGTACTTCCTACTAAAAAATTGTTTCGACTCCGACATAAAATCATACGTCCGTCCCTAGACATATGCTTGGTAAATAAAAACCCAGATGGATTTTCATTTTGGAGCGTGGAAAATGCCCTTCAAAATTGAAGGTGTATTAAAGATCAAAGTCATCGAGGCACTTTAGAAACAGTGGTAGTTCCATCATAATCCTAAAACCATACATCAATTTCATAGTAAAATGCATATAAATGAGCATTTTCTGCATTGATTTGTACACAAAATCAAAGCTCATCCAGATGCTGATCGGCCAAGATCGATCATCATTGCTTCAATCCTCCATCCAGGTGCTAGTTGAGAGATCATTGTTGCTTTAATCCCTCTGGCATTCCTAAGCTTTGTGCAAGGTCACTCATCCTTTCTTTCATGGCCTGGACACTCTACTGATGTGCATCCTTGTACGCTTCATTAACTAAAAACGATAGCTTCTGCACATATTAAGTTTCGGAAAATAAATTAGAAGCTTGATATGGTAATCGGAAAAACAACAATCAACTTTTAAATTCTTCTGAATGCCTTGTAATCGCACACCCAAGTCCCAACATGAGTCATTATTTCCAACCAAACCAAGTAGAAGTTTCAAGAATGTTCTTGTCCCTCTACTAATCCTTCGATCAGGTTTTGAGGATAGAAGAACCTAAGACGTGACTATAACCAACGAGTCGTCCCAAATAATTTGGTGGAAAATTAGTTTATCAATTGTATACTTACTTCTGCACCCAGTTCCATTGCTGCCTCGGTAATCTCTACCCGTATGGGTTGCTGGTTTCCAGATAATGTTGCCTGAAAAGTAATGTTTTCAGTTAAAACATCTGTAAAATACAATAGAAAGATTGATTCTACAGTCAGAGTTGAGACTTGAGACACAAAGGACTAAATGTGTAATGGAAAAATTCTTCATGCATGACATCTTCGTATTGTTCCACTTATCCCCTAGTATTATTCAACATCATAAACAGAATGGTAATCATCATAGCTACGAATAACGAGTTTATTAGCTAAGGTTAATGTGGCCGTCAGAAGCAGTCAATGATACTTCTTAAACTATAGAGAGAGAACTGAAAAAACATACCTTTATCAGCTCAGCTTCACAATAGCCGTCAAACTCTGCTCTGAAATACAGAATAAAACCAAATGGAAATCATACACAAAAAGAAACTAAAGTTCAGATACTAATAGGGGTAATATAAGATACATACGCAGCGAGCTCTTTTTGCACACGCACAGCCTCAACCTGGACAACCATTTGTGCTTTCTTCACCGTCTCATAGAGATTTTGCATGTTTCCAAGAATTCCTGCCTAAAATCAATTCAGTAGGACAGCAGCATTAGTTTTGAAGGATGGAGACGGTCGATAAAGGTGCTGCACTAACTATCATGCGCAACTGTCAAAGAAGATGAATGACAGGTCACATGACTCAAGCAGTCGATCAATTTTGGCACGTTGATGAGACAGAGGAGTGGAGTAACACAAGCACAGCGGCTGTAGTAGTTCTCTCTCTCCATGTATAACATATAGGTGTAACAAAGTGAAAAGGAACATAAGATGATCTTTGCTAGCATATAATTTACTTAGGTTACCATCAGAAAGCTGATTTATGTCGTGCCTTTGGGGAGGATTATATGATGCAACTACGACAACGTAAATTGCACGAGTTTTAAAATAGTTTGTCCTACCACGAAGAAGAATTAGTACAAATTTAAACTTGAAATTAGAAGGATAATTAAGAACTCTAATGAAAAATAAGACATCTTCAAAAAAAGTAAAATATTCTCCACTTTTTAAAAAGATAATATTCCTAGAAAACGAAACATAAATGTTTCACTTTCAACTAAATTGATAGCGGAAACAAGTAAAATATGTATAAGAATCAAAGGAAAACAGAACTTTGAGACAACAATACCTGAAGTGTAACTTGAAGGCATTATTTTCAATCATATATAAGGCCGGGACAAACACAATTAGTAGCTAGTCGATGAGACTAAACAATGGGAATTGATTATACTATGAAGGAAAATTTACTCCTTGATACAATTGTATAAATTGATAAAGAGGTTGATATCCCCATGATCTGAAGTGCATGCTAGACCCTACTAAATGTCAAAGAGATCAATGTAGCCATTTCTAAAGAATGGTTTGAAAATAACATGAACTAGCACTAGACGCCAAGATTACCATAACTGACCTTGGAAGGTGCATCATCGCCCTTGTCACTGTTTTCCTTTTTTCCTCCAAACAGGTCATACACACGAAGAGACTTATGCGTATGGCCGGTTTTCCGATGACATGACGGTGATAAAAGCTGCTTCCCATCTAGATTTGCATTCGAATTAAAGTTACCTGAAGAGCATCAGCAAAAAGAAAAAAAGAAATTGCAGCCCATTCTTTAAGAGCTTAAATTGGGGGAAATTAATACAGATAAACGCCCAACTGCAAAATAAACATTAGGGTAAAATAAAATCACACAGAAAAGCAAACAATCCTCGGTACGATTACAGGGAAAGTTCTGTTTCTGCATAACAAAAAGTGGAAAGGGGAAATCCGAAGTTCATACCTTTTATTATTTTTTTTGTACTAAAAAAACAATTAAATGATAACCAATACAGCTATTTCAGCCATGCTGACACTTCGTTTCGTCTAAAAACAAGCACAAAAACAAACCCATAGAACAAAATCAAAAACTTTGCATGGTCGATACTCTTACACTGAATTCTCTATTTTTTTCATCAACCAAAGAGAGAGAGAGAGAGAGAGAGAGAGATACCAAAGGAGAGAGAATGGATTGTCTTCTTCCAATTAGTGGCTCCATGGAGATTTGATATTTGAGCAGTCACGGCACTTGTCGACGCCATTACTTTTGTAGATTCTCTTCACCCAGGAAAGAAAATCAGATTTTTAAAAAATAGAATAGTTTTCCTTTCTTTCTTTTCTTTTGCTTTTTAACTTTTTTAGGTTGCGTTTAGGTTTACGGAAATGTAGGATTATTAGTGTGAATAAAAAATTAATAATAATAAGATTATTGAAAATGTTGTATTTTGTGTTTGATTAGTTTAGTAGAAATATAAGAATATCGTGTTTGATTAAAGAAATAAAATATTATTAAAATGTATATTTGATTAAATTATTTTTATTATATATTTATTTTTTTAACAAATTAAAAAATATTTATATATTTTCTTTAAAAAATTTAAATTCATAAATTTATATAAATTTTTTACAAAATTAAAAATATAAAAAGATTTAATGAAATTATAAAATTTTATTTTACCTCTGGTAAAATTTTATTTTACCCCTGAACTTTATATAAAATTTTAATTATAGATTTTTTTTGTAAATCTAAAATAATTTAAGGACAAATTTGTAATTTAACATTCGTAGAATTTTTATTATTCAATGACAGAATAATGATATTTTTGAAAGAAAAAAAATTAAGGGTATTTTAGTCCAAAACGACGATAATCCAACAATACCTAAGAAAATAGAGGTAATGACATTTCCGATAATATACCCTAAAAAATCTACTATTGATAATATAAGATTACCAGGAATGACATTCCCGACCAACCAAACGAAATTTCATTCCCATAAAAATCTTACATTCTCCTAACCAAACACACACTTAATTTCATCTAATTACAAGGGGACAAATACGAGGAAGACGCATTATCCTGTGTTGGATATTTTACTTGAACGTGGAAGGAATAAATTCAAACTTGGGATCCCCATTTGAATTATAGATATTTGATTATTTTTATAGGTGATTAATTTGTTTATAATCATATTTGATTATAAAATAATAAGTATTTCTTTAATCACTAAGAAAAATTAGCTTGTACATTGAGAGGGTTAAATTATTACTTCATATTATTTATATGATTTATAGATTGAAATATTTGAATTTGATATAAATTATAAATAAAGAATATATTTATTTTTAACCGGATTTGAATTTTGATTATCTAATTTTTAGTGAATTTGGATGTAGAATATATGATGCTTGATATATGATTAAAATTTTAACTTTAATTTTTTTATTTAAATATACGATAAAGAATGCTATTATTTTAAAATTTAAATAATGATACTCAAATAATTTATCCATAAAAATAAATTTTAGATTTTAAATAGATTTTCAAATACATTTTTTTTAAAGTGATACTATGATATATTCATTAGTCAAATAAAATATAATCAACAACGTTTTGTCATAAACAAAATATAATAATGAACGGTCAATGACAGTCTAATGAGTAAGAGCATTCTGACATCTCTTAGGACCAGACAGACATAAAGGATGAAAACTTGGAGAAAATCCAAAAAAACGAATGAAAAACCAATCTCCTTAATCGCAGTCTCATCCAACACATTTATTTTAAAATTAACAAAATGACATATACAAACGAACAAAGAAACTATGAATCTTGAAAGCAAGTAATCAAAAAATCTCATAGAACCACAAATCAAGAAGAAGATCAATAGAATAAGCTTGCACTGAAACTTCAAAAGCATCGATAGCCATAATATCATTTACAATATAAACGGTCAAGATAAATATTATAATAATCACGTTAAAATATAAAAAGGAAAATATAATAAACCGATGAAAAAGATAAAAAAATGGTAGGGAAGTGGTAGGAGAAAGCCACCACCACTATCCAAAAAAAAAATTGTGGTAACCACCAAAAACAAATAACTGAAAGAGATGAGAATGTAAAAGCAAATAACTGCTTGAATGCATACTCAAATCATTCAAAAATTATAAATATCAGACTTGATGTCATCTTTAGTTCAAACATTTATGAAATTAAAAGGAAATTGAGAGAAATTTAGGAATGATATTAAGATGGGCTAAAATTATTTTTCTTGGGTCTCTTACATGTCGAAGTCCTTTTCCCGTGTCACATGTTGATTCGAGTATCATTTCTTTCACTTTCCATTTGCAAATTAAACCAATTCTGATTGAAACCAGTAACAATAATAAGCTCGTCATTGGACACTTTGCTTCTATTCCTGTCATTTAATGACCCACCGGCTCATAAGCAAATATACCAGTACTTGAGTTTACAAGCCTAGTGATTTAAACAGTTAAAACAGACGAAAACATAAAAAATCTGCTTTTAAACAGTCGAGCCAATTAAATACATTATTTCCAACCTTTGTGGTTACCTATTCGTTAAACAGAAAAGCTGATGCTGACACTCACTAATGGAGATAATACCTTATATTATATGGAGCTTGATTTACCAAGATACCCCTCTCCATTCCATGCAGATTGAAAGTCGTCAATGTCAACCTTGTAGGACAAGAAAGAGGAAATTTTGGCAACAGGGTCTGGATTCCAAGGCATCAACTTTCCTGCATTTGAAGAAGATGGATGAAAGTCATGGCTATTGTGATTGTAGGGTTAGGTGGTGGACAGATATGTAGAGCCGTGGATGATGGGATATTACTATTTTTTTTAATTGAAAAAGACTAGGTGCCTGCTATCACTAGTTTAATCTAATGTGGGGAATTGAATAGCAGAACAAGCCTGCAACTCAGATTTGATCTTATCCATTCATACTGGTTAGCTGGAAAGTTGAAACCAAATTTGGGTTATTCGCTTTCTTCGAGCTTTGCAAATTGCGAGGTTCCACCTAGCTTGAAGCCAAATTCGGGTTTATTTATTTATTCCTTCCTTGTTTTTAACAGAGTAAAATTACTTTCTACGATGCAGAGAGATGAAGCACCCAGAGAGTATACATTTAATAATGTGAAATGAAAGGCAACTGCTTCGTCTCTTTGTAATTTACAATGTCTGGTTAGGCCAAAGAGCCTACAAAAGGTTACCTCCAACAAGTGAAACGCCAGACAGGCAGGTACCGACTACAACAACAACACATAAGAAAGCATCATCCACGTTTGATCTTCCTGTCCCTTCTATCAAAGCATATATGTTTCTCTCTCTAGAAAAAAAGAAGAAGAAACTTGGTTTCCTTTTATCTCTCTACTCGGGGGAAAACAAGGAAAATTCACGCACCCTCTTCAAAATCACCCAACTTTTCTTCAATGGCCCAGCTGGACCAAAATTTATGTACAAGGAAAAACAAAAAAGAAAGGAAAGATAGGGAGACAACGGTGATAGCAAGAGGAGATATAGATGCATTCAAAATGTCCTCCAAATCAATCCCACCTCACGAAACTCTGTCTTTACCAGAAATACCCTTCTGTAATCCCACCCCTGAAGATCCCATCTTCATCTATTTCTCCCAATCTCACAAAAGAAACAATTTTTACCACCGAGTTATGTGGGCTTCTTTGGGATTATCTTGTTTCGGTCAGAGTTTTCACAGAGAAAACAGGGAGACGAGAACCTTACTCTATATCTTTCTCTTGTTTAGCTCTCTATATTTATCCTTTTTTCCTCCTCGTTAAATACTCTTCTTTCTCCCCTTTGTTCCTTGTTCTTCCTCCGTATTCCCTTTTTCTGGCCTACTGGGTTCTCTCTCTCTCTCTCTCACCGTTGTGATCTGAAACATGAAGAAGATGAAAGGAATTGCTGTTCCTGCTGCAGTTAAGGAGTATTCTCCTTATGATTTTTATGAGGACAAAAGGGCACGGTTCAGGTATCCGAGCCATATGGAAGAGTTTGAAGACTTGCACAAGGTAATGGTTTTTTACGGATTGTTTAGATTTTGAGTTACTTCCAATCAGATTTTTTTTAGATCCCGGTGTTTATAATCCTCTGGGTTTTCTTACATTTCTTATATAGTCAGCTGTGTATCTCCTCTTTTAGTCTTTTAATCTAGTAAGATTTCACAGGCTTGATTGATCAAGGTGGCTCTGTAATGTTCTTGCTTTATTCCAAGGCTTATACGATCATCGATTGTTTTTCCACCTAAATCCTTCAGTTCTTCTGTGGAGAAACTTTTAGTAGTTAAGAACTTGTCATGGCTTCTCCCAAACTACAAAAAAAGAGCAGTTCGTTGAAGGCTACTTATCATAACGTATACTCCCAACTAACATTTAGGTGCTTTGTGTGTGTTCCTTCAGGAAACGGAGTCCATGAGAAAGAAATTGCAGATGATGAAAGAGAAGAGATCGACCCTGTTGGCTGAAGTCAAGTATGATGTTGTTCCTACATAAATTTGTATGCTATCAGAATCACAGTTATTGATAAAGAGTGGAAACCTTTTTTGTTGTTAGGTTTTTGAAACGGAGGCACAAGTTCTTGACGCAAAACCAATCGTCGAACACCCCATCAGAAAGACAATTTTTGCAGCCACAGAACATGGTGATTAAAAGTAAATCAAACATGAAGGCAAAGAAATCAACAGGGAAGGGTGCTTCGCTAAGCCGAGCTATGGGTTTCGATTTGAGCCAGAAGGGAAAGACGAACGGTGTAAAGGGAACCGGTTCCACTCGGCCTTCCCTTGTGTTTGACTTAAACAAGAAGCATCAGAAGAGTTTCGGTGGAAAGGAGGATCCTAATTTGCGAAGTTCCATATCAGTTCTTGACTTAAACCAAAAGGAAAGGTTTTACAGTGGAAAAGAGGCCGCTGCTCGAAGCATGAAACCTATTTTTGACTTAAACCAGATTTCGGTAATCTATTGTTGTCATACAAAAATTGCTTGCTATATAATCTTTTATCACGAGCTAATGTCTCGAGAATCTCGTTGAATGCAGAGAGAGGAGGAAGAACTAGAAGCTCAAACTAATGCAGCGAGAAAAGAGGAAGTGAAAAGTTCAATCAGAAAGGGGAGTGAGGAGCAGCACAGTGATATTAAAATATCAGCCTGCAGGAACACTGGAAATGGGCCAAATAGAAGCAGGAAAAGAAAGATCTCATGGCAAGATCAGGTGGCATTGAGGGTTCAAGTCCCTTGCAATACAAGTGCTTACTGCTTAGTTTGAGGGATTGAAATACTAGTGAGTTTAGCCACCCTCCTTTTTTTTAAATTGCTCTTATGTGGTTATTTTCTTCATTTGATCTCTTATGTAAAGAAAATATAGTTGCATCTATTGGATTTATAAAGATAAATATAGTTTACTTGCATCATGATCCACGGATGCTGTCCGTCTTTGGTTGGTCGGAGTAATCGGGAAGCAAGTTCTGGGTCTTGCAATTCCTTTTTGTAAATGATTGTTGAAATGTTCCACGAATTCTGTTCCTCGGGTTACCTTTGCTAAGCAATGTAAAGGTACCGGCCATGCTCCCACTTAGTACATAGAATGAGGTATTTGGAGTATGCTTGAAGTTGTCACTTTCGATCAGATATGAATTTGAAAGTTAAGCAATTCACAGTGGATTGAACGTCGAGCAATCTAATAATCATTGATTACGCGAAGGAAATTGATTTGGCCAATATCTTTAGGCATTTTCAAGGAGAAATTTTAATCAAAATGGCTTAAATTTATCACATTACTACAACTGTGGACATTGTCGTGTGATCACATAGCTTCCGTGCATTGGAAGGGATCCCCTTTTTTTCCTTGGTTTAGCTTGTATCAATTAATTTGTGGTTTAAAGTTAAATTTTCAATTTGGGTATTTGTAATGTTTTAATTTTTATATCATCACATCCCCTATAAGTATATTCAAAATTTGTGGTTGTTGAGAGTATGTACGACATATACTACTAATAATCATCCTAAATTAATAAAAAATATAATGTATATGTTCTTAAAATTTTAATATCATTTAAGAAAATTATTACAGTAAATAAAATTTTGATTTAACAATAAACTCAAATTTTGATAAGTATATTTCTCTTATGTGTGTTTGTATATGATTATTAAAATATCAAAAATTAATTGAAATATATAATTAAGATTAAACATAAAGTTAATATATGCTTAGCATGTAAATTTATATTTCATATATGATTAAGGAATACATGAAGATTAAATTAAAATTATATATTTTTATGGAAAGAATGTTTATAAACTTTAATTTTTAATTTTTAATTTAAAATTATTCCATGATTTCATTTTTTGACAAAAACAGCGTTTACCATTTAGAAATGCACTCCATCGGGAGAAGCAAAGTAAAGGTGGACCAAAAGTGGCGTATTTGTAGGAAATTATTATTTTGCCCAATTCGTTATCCGAAAGTCCGCGAACTCTGTCCTTTTACTTTTCACGGCAGAGGGAAACATTGTCCGGCGCTTACCAAAACGATCGTTCTAACATGGAGAGCAAAGAAGGAACCGGGGAAACAGATGCCGACTCTGGACTCATCTCTGATTGGGCCGAGTTAACCCACGAGTGCCTCCTCAACATCCTTTCCCGACTCACTTTCGAACACCGATGGACCGGTCCTATGTTTGTCTGCAAACCTTGGCTCAACGCCTGCAAGGATCCCTCTCTCAACTCCGTCTTCGATCTCGAAACTCGCTTCGATTCCTTCTTCGAGTCAACTCGCTGGTGGACCCCCGAGTTCGAAAGAAGAATTGACGCCATGCTCCGATCGGTTATCTCCTGGAGCAACGGCTCTCTAACCGAGATCTTTACCCGTCACTGCTCCGATCTCTCTCTCAATCTCGTCGCTCAGAGGTATCTCATCTGCGACACCGTTTAAAAAATTTACATTTTTTACTCGAATTTCCGTTTTGATTTTCAATTTCTTTTTCCAGGTGTCCAAATCTCCAAGTTCTTTCCATAAAGAGCTGTCCTCACGCAACCGACGCGTCGATGGCTCAAATAGCGTATCATTGTCGGAACCTTAAGCAGCTCGATATCAGTTACTGCTACGAAATCTCGCACGAATCTCTAGCGTTAATTGGTCGGAATTGTCCCAATTTGAAGATCCTAAAACGGAACCTGATGAATTGGCTAGACCCATCGCAACATGAGGGAGTTGTTCCACCCGATTATCTAAATGCGTGTCCACAAGATGGAGATACGGAGGCAGCTGTTATTGGGAAATTTATGCCTCAATTGGTACATCTTGAAATTAGATTCTCGAAATTATCGGCTAAAGGGCTTTCTTCCATTTGTGAAGGGTGTTTGAAACTCGAGTATCTTGATCTGTCTGGATGTGCTAACTTGACCAGTCGGGACATCCTGAATGCGACGTCGAATTTGAAGGAAGTGAAGGAAGTGAAGAAGCCCAACTTTTACATACCCAGGTCAGTTTTTCACACTGAGAGATATGGGCACTGGAGGTTGTATGATGAGAGGTTTCAAACTGATGTTTTTCGTATCTAGAAGCAAAAGGGAACATATATCTTTTTCTTGGCTTTACCATTTGTGTGTTAAGATGCTATGAAATATCTATTCATGTCTGCTTGTATGATGGATTGGTTTTCCGTTTGCTCAGTTTGTATTAATGCAGCACTTATATTCCCTACTACTAATTTCCCGTTTCTCCATCGTTTGATCTCTGCAACTGTAAAAGAACATCACAAATGAGCCTGTTTTGAATTCACTGTTTTATGGCTTCTTCTCATGGCTTGAGGTTGTCAATATACCATCCACAAAAGGAGTTCAGTTAAAGAAACCGAAATAGAAGATTTATAGGTCATATACATTGATGGAGTGGACAAACAACCAATAGCGAGCCTTTCTTTTGTCAAATGACAACAAGCTCCCAAAATCAGTTGAACTTAGTAATTCCTAAGTTTATTTTCCCTTCAAGGACATTGTTTGCTGAACTGATGTGTAATTACTAAGTTTTAGGGATTGCTTTTTTCTTTAATTTAAAATTGAAGAGGTGGTCAATCAACAAGGAGTCCAGCGGGAGATCAACGTTGTCAGGTAAGCTCTCTGTCACCTATATTAATGGTGGTTGACATCGAGTTATTGATTTGTAACTTTTAAAACTTTAATGGAAAAAATGAAAATTTACTAAAATATTAGTGATCATTTATAAAATTTACTATATAAATGGCTAGTTTAAAGAGAACCATAAGATTTATAGGTTATACAAATTGATAGACTGAACAAACAACTATTAAGGAGCCTTTACTTTGTCAAATTGACATCAAACCTTCTTATAAATGTTCCTTGAAAAGTTCTAAGCGAGAGACAATGATGGGTGAAGAATTTTATATTAGGGGATAAATTTATAAAATTTTAGAAGAAAACGATAATAATAGAATTTTAGAAGATAAAAATAAACTAATAAACAAATATATAAAAAATTAAAATTTTTAGAGAAAAATCGATTCGCAGTCCAAGCAAGCTATGAGTGACAAACTCCCAAGTCTCTTCATTGGTTGGGGTTGTTTGTAGGTATAATTTTCCTTCATGAATGATGTTTGCAAGGCCCGTGTATATTGGACATCCCCATCCAAAACCTGCATTGTTGATCTTAGATATTCATTGTCCATCCTTTGCAATGCTCCATATACTCACTCTACGGTATCTACAAACGGCTTAGACCGGAGACACGGGGAATTGATGAAGCTGTGAAAAATACATTGCCAAAGTAGCTTGACGGGAGGGGAGGATGTAGTGAGTCTGGGGCTTCCGTTAATTGGCATGAGTAACTGTGTCGGTTTATCATCGAAGAGACCTCCAGCTTTCCTTGCACTGCGCCATATGTATGCAACTAGAATGGTATAGGTGGTGCAGTCAGTTTCGTTTTCATTTATGAATGATTTGGCTTTTAGGGTATTGAGTCGGTTTTGTGTGATCTTCAAAACAGATACACTCGGGGTTTAAGATACGGAGATAGTAGCCTGTCTAAAATTATTTTTAAAGATAAATATATATATATATATATATATTATTAGCATAATAATATATACAAATAAATTTCACGAGTGAGCATATTTAATAAAATGAATAATTAATTTATAAAAAATTGATTTCAGTGCTCATCGTTAACCCTACTTTCATCCGCTACTTGATGTGGGTGATCAAGGGAGGAGATAGGTCATATTCGGCACAATGGAATCTAGGGGTCAGTGGTACTTTTGCTCGAAGAAGGTTGTCTTCAACAAGGGGTGCCACCGTAATTTGGGACAAGCCTCTTGTCATTCCATACCAACTATTGATGAGATGAAAGGGTGTTAGCGGATTGCTGCTAAGTTTATTCACATAAAGTCGAATTATGATTTATTGATCCGACTTCCAAATTTTAAGCAAAAACATCGATCGGACTTCTAAATTTCAAGCAAAAAACAATCTTCAAATTAGCTTGCACTTTTTGAGTTAAAGATATAGTAATTTTTAAGAAAATGATCGATTGTTAGTCTCAGTTTTCAAAGAATATGTTATAGTTAAGAGAAGTAGAAAGGATGCGAGAAGAAGAAATTTAAAATTTAGAGATTACAGAAAAGAGATGCTTCATTCATTTCTTGAGAAATCAATTTCTCTCAGTCATTATTTTATTTAGTTACAGGGTTATAGTTGTAATTTATAATGTGCCAGCTGTCAGTACTATATAACAGCTATAACTAACTGATATTCTCTTCTCTTCTCAGGTCCTGGGCCACCGAACTTGGGCTCATTCCTCTCTTGCTAGATTGCAACTCGGACAGTCCAACTCCATCTTGACTCAAGCGCTTGATCTGCTCCACATCAGAAGGTAAATACCTCGTTCCCTCTTCTTTTACTTTAATCCCTAAATCCCCAATTTCAAACCCCTCTCTTCCCTCGATCCCCAATTCTCCATCATCAAACCCTAACCCTTGACCTCCTCTTCTCCCAAATCCTTCGTCATTTCCACGCTCTTCTCCTCCTACTGTAACATAATACAATCTGAATGTATGAAAAACAAGACTCAATTCTCGCGATTAGAATTGAACTTCGTAAAACATTTAACTAAGCGGAAGTTTAGTTAACTATGGCTTGGATCATGCTTAGCACTGTGAAAATAAAATAATGAAAGAAAAGTAGAGATGAAAGAAATGCAAAACTTCAATAATTAATCAGAGAAAAAAAAATTCAATAGGTTTTTCAATTGAGCAATTATAATCAGCGAGTTTAAGTAAATAAGATAACTTACTAAATAAAAGATAATAATACAGATAAAATTATCAAACTAAAAATCCTAATTAGAGTTATTAAAAAAATAACTAATTCCTAAATAAAATAACCAAACTAAAAATCCTAAATTTAAAATGTTTATCACAAAAGATAAAAAAAATTAAGTCTTGTAATTCGGGTTGAACTATGCTTCATCTTCTAGATAACTTTATCCAAAATAAATTCTAAATTAAATATTCAAGAAAATTTCACTTGTCTTCTAAAAGATATTGATTGAACCCGTCCAAATCTGTTGGTTTTCGAGCTAATTAATCCAATAAAGCTCATCTCCAAAATAATCTCAAAAAGAAACAAATTAGTTATATCCAAACGATAAATATGAAGTAAATAATAGTAAAAATATGTAATATTCAACATTTATCAAAAGATTATTCTAAACTGAATTAAATAAGAACAGCCTTGTATTCCACAAGGTAACATATTATTCTAAACTGAATTAAATAAGAACAGCCTTGTATTCCACGAGGTAAATAATGGTTGAAATGTATTGAACTCATACATTGACGGAATAGAATAGTCTAAAAGATCATGAAGCTGCTTTCCCCAATGATGTCAGTCAAAGGTAAATAATAACAAAGCACAATATTAGCACACATGATGCATCGACGATGATGAATTTTGTTGATAATCATTACATCAACCAATTGATGTTCAAGGAAACCAATCTCCCATGATTCTACAAGTCCAAGTGGGTGTGGAAATTCCAGCATGCTAACCAAGGTCTGCTTTTTCCCACACCAACCCATGATGATATACACACTATGCTTATCCTCCTCCTTTCTTCTTTCTAGCATCTCCATTACTTGCAAGCTTCCCTTCTTTGGTTTTTCCTCCACTTGCTGAAAGTCAAAGTCAGAAAAGATGATTGTCTACCAACCCAATTAAGCTATATAAATTCTAAAACTTAACTACACATGTGACTTGACATTACCTCCAATCCTTTATGGGATGCTAATATCATGCAATGAAAGAACTAAGAAATGCTTCATGATGATATCTAGTGTGGTAGCAAGATCTCAAGCATCAGAAAACGTTCATTAACAAGTATATTACATCATCTTAAATGATTAGCAGTTCATGTGTACATGTCTTATGAATTTTGGTAAGAATCTTTCTCCATCATGTCCACCTTTATTCTTCTACTGATAACATATATTTTCTCATCTTGGAGCTAAATATGATCAACCAGTTTGAATATTGACAAGTACAACTCACATTTCCTTTACTTGATGTAGCCGCTCAGCATGACTGCCGATGATGGTGAAGCCGTGGTCCAGTACCAAGCACCAACAATAGCTCCAGATCCATCACCAAATAAAAAGTAACCGCCAAGCAATACCCTTTAAAGAATGCAAACTGTAGCGTACAGAGTTTGTTTCTCATACAAGGCATAAACATGTCTATAAGTGGGAAAAAATGTAAGTGGGTTCAATCTTCAAACTTCTAAGGATTGATCTAGTGTTGATAAATTTATAGATATCGACGTACAAGACATAACTTAAGAAGCATTACATTCTCTTCTATGGTGGCACAAGGTAAAACTCTCATCATGGTAGAAAAACAAACAAATTTAGAAGGAAAAAAAGCAAACAAACGAAAAAAAAAAGAGCAAGTTATAGTCATTGTTTCTCATTGAGGAGTTCTTGGTTCAATATCCTTGAGCAGGCCAACAATCTGTTGCATGCTCGGTCGCTTGGTGGGATGATCAGCAGTGCACAGATATCCGATCTTGAGGGCCTCCTCCATTTGGTAATCCGGACTTGTATCTCGGATTTTAGGATCAATAGCTCTTGATCCTTGATTCATTCTCACCAATCCTCTAACCCAACTCACTAAATTTGCTTCTTGCTCTGGATAATTATCTCCAATTGCCTTTTTCCCTGTAATTAACTCAAACAAAACAACACCAAAGCAATATACATCAGATTTTGGTGTAGGGGCATCACATTCGGGCTGAGAAAATTCCGGTGGTACATATCCTGGTGTTCCACGGGCAATTTCATCCTCTAGACCAGTTCCAAATATTTTGGCCAATCCAAAGTCGGATAATCTAGGCTCCAAATTTAAGTCGAGATAAACACTGCTAGCTTTAACATCTCTGTGGATTATCGAAGGTGAGCAACCATGATGAAGAAACGTGAGTGCTCTTGCAGTGCCAAGGGCTATTTTGTGTCGAAATGCCCACGTTGTCAACAACTCTTCGGAGCCAACATTTTGTATCCCGTTGTTGCCGTCTTCCCAGGTATCAGTGCTCCAGTCCTCAGTTGTTTGAACACCAAGTGGCAAATCGTGTAACAAATTCTGCAAGTTCCCATTTTCCATGTAATCATAAATAGCAATCCTTTGATCCCCGGCCAAGCAATATCCTGTTAAAGGAACAAGATTTGGATGTTTGATTCGACCAAGATACTCGAGCTCTCTTGCAGCTTCTTGTTCTGTCAACATTGATCCATGAACCAAAACTTTAACAGCTACATGAATTCCACCAGGCAGAAATCCTCTATAAACAGGGCCAAACTTCCCTTCTGCTAGTAGAGTGTCTCGATCAAAATTTGAAGTTGCAGACAAGAGGTCTGCAAATGAGATATTTAATAGTGGTTTCTCAAAAATCACTACAGGGACTAATGTTGCCTGCTTAACATCGGCAACCCAAGTGGTCGAATCAGTTTGGAAGGAAAAGGGACCTGAAATATTATGTTCCTCTTTATATAAGGGTTGCTTAACTACCCATGTCCTGGACTTCCTTCGGCAGCCAAAGGCTAGGAACAGCAAGCCAGCAAGCAAGCACACCATGGAGAAGGTTAAAGCCAAGGCAAGCGTATACCCTCTGTGTCTATTGGCTCTTGTTTTGAAAAAGACCGGATTTGCAGCAATGGGACAGTTGTTTAATGAGCCATAAAAGGCTGTTTCCAGGGTCTCAGGGGAGATCCCTGAATCACATAGGGTTAAGTTGTTGTAAGAGAAGTTGTATCTCTCCATCCCTGCAAGTTTTTCTAAGAGAGAAACCGGAATTTCTCCACTCAAATTGTTGTGTGAAACATCAAGTATTTTGAGGCTTTTATGAGCCAATGATGGAATACGTCCGGTAAGATGGTTTGATGAAACATCGAGTGCATGTAAGTTACTCATTTGCAAAATTTCACCAGGAATGTGACCGATGAGACTGGTTTTAGACAAATTAAGATACTCTAAACCCAGAAGTGTTTCAGTTATGGGAAATATCTGTCTAGCAAATCTATTGTATGCAAGGTTAAGATGTCTAAGGTTGTCAGCCTGACTCAGGTTTAGGAAAATTTCTCCACTGAGCTGGTTCTCAGACAAGTCTAGATAAACCAAACGAGACCACTTGTAAGTAGAAACGAATTGTACCTGAGAAATGTGACCTTGAAGCTGGTTCTTGCTGAGGTCAATCACCTCCAGCTGCCCTTGAAAGACATCTGTAACCGAACCCTTAAACAAGTTCCCAGAAATGTTAAGGCTGGTAAGAGACTTCATTTCTGCAAAATCCGAGACATGGCCATAAACCTCATTTCTGGCAAGGTTTAAAGTTTTGAGCTTGGGAAAAGCTACACCGAAACCATCTGGCAAGGAACCATTCAGTCGATTTAATGAGAGATCGAGTGAAACCAAAGACTGGCAATTCAAAATTCCTGTTGGAATGCTCCATTCAAATCCGTTTCCAGCAAGGTTAAGAACTTGTAAACTAGTTAGGGAGCTTATAGCTGCAGGAATTTCCCCAGAGAAATTATTTCCAGAAAGGTCAATGACTTCAAGCTGACCAAAGTTGCCAATATTGCTAGGGAGAAACCCAGAAATCTGATTAGAGGAGAGATTAAGTCTCTTAAGTGATCCTAAACTCCACAAATCTGAAGGCAAAGCAGTGATTTTGTTATTGCTAAGATCCAAAGACTGAAGCTGAGTTAGCTTACCAATGGTGGTATCAGGCATCAAACCAGAGAGGCCTAAACCTGAAGCCTTTAACCCAATAACATTCTCCTTCTTGGTATCACAGTGCACCACTTCCCATGAACAAACAGTATCAGAGAAGTTGTAGGATAAAGAAGAGTTTGAGCTCATCTTCTTCAAGAAATCAGAGACATAAAATTCATCTGTGTTGGGTAGTTGACAGGTAAAATGCTTGAAGAAGAGTGATAGAATTAGTACAGAACCGATGAAACCAATATCCATTTTGACCCAAAACGTCAAAAATTGAGAAACAACTTGAACGCTTAAAGGCACCACCTTGAACCCAGCTCAGGCCTCTATGGCTAAACTTCAAATCACCAGCTCCATTAAAGCCAACTCTGCCAATAAGAAGAAATTTTGAGAAGTGCTCTGGGGTTCCAAGTACAAGGTGATTATTTGGCTAGAAATACTGCAAACTTGAGAGGGGTTCTCGTGATGACCAGAAAAACCCAAAAAACACAGAGGTGCCTGTAAGAAACCAACAAAAGTAACAGTGTTCTTGAAAGAATGAATGACAATTTCCAAAAGAAAAAAAATTCCAGCATACTGAAATTTGGGTCTTAGGAGAGAATGTGAGCTTACCTTGTCTAGTTTTGCAAGTCTATCTAACCAACAAAACAAACCGCCACCAAAGGGAAGCTCTTCTTTTCTCTGTTAGAGCATAAACTGTCATATTCCCTTTGCAAACATAACTTTTCTTATTGGTACAGACTTTTTAAAGTAATATTAATTCTAGCTCAGGAGAAAATCAAGAACAATGTATTGAATTTTGAAGGGAAAGAAAAGAAAAGAGTGGAATTTGAGAAGGGAGAGATGGCGGTTTAGAACTGTCAAAACTCAAAACTTGAGCTTCATAAATGAAAAAAGAATCCGATACAAATACTTTTGTAAATATAATATGGGTTGGTGGAAAAACAATGGAAATCAACTTTTCTTGGTGGGTTTTCAATGGTTCTCCATCGAGTGTAAAATCATCTTTTTCTTTTCCTACTAATTTTACCTTTTATGAAAAAACAATGGACTTTTTCTTTTTGTTTGGACAAGTTTTCTTTATAAGAAACCATCTTCACAAATTTGGTGTTTTTCACTTTGGTCAGCTTGTGCAGTGGTTTGATTGTGAGTTGTGAAAATAAATGATCAGCCATGCTTTATGCCACATTCATTGGAAATCAACAGTAAACGACACCCTTCAAAGTCTTCTTTTCTCTTCTAAAGGTTGGTAAACTGTAGACTTCATTCAACATGTAGGTGATAGAACTGCCAAACGGATAAACAAAAAAAATGAGATAAATTTTTTAAAAAATAGGAACACAATTCGATTTTTTAAGAATTTTTTTAATTAAATTAATAATTTTTAAGGATTAAAATCATTAAATAGATATTATCTTGTATTTACTTCACATTAATGAAGAAAAATACAATAATCCAAGTTGAGTACTACACTCTCAAAGAAATTGAAACTATAATTTATATAGTATTTAATAGATAATTATTTGATGTATAAATATTATAATTTTGTTCCAAGCTAATGAATTATTATTTAATATGGTGTCAATAAAGGATATACTTATATGATTTAAAATTATTTATAAAACTTTTAAAATCAATAAATACTATAGCTATCATCATCTTGTAACCGTTTATGAAAATATTTTTAAAAATCAAATGATACTTTAAGTAATCATATATTATTTATTTAAATATTAATTAAATATGTATAGTAATATATTAAAACTATTTATAAAAAAACACTAAAAACAGATCACATAATAATCCATATTTTATATACATATACATATACATATACATTATTATTATTATTATTATTTAATTATACGAGTCCACCAAGTTAGTCAATTTCCTATGATTTAAATTTAGGGGCTCCTCCAATATGGGGTTTATGATTTGACCCCACTCTCACTCTCCCAACTTGTTTTTGAGTGATGAATTATTATGCCTTACCACCACTATAATCACAATCACCTTCCCTATCACTACTTGCTAACCATATAAAAATTAAAACATTTTGTATTTTTATTTATAGTCCCAATTTATAAATAAAGTTACATTTGTTAATAAAACCCAATATTTCAATGGGGGAAAACATGGAATCTTACACACTAGATTATAAAAACTTAATCAATTAAAATATTTTAGATTGAGGAACAAATTATCCATCTTTATAACGAAAATTATCAAACTGCAAATGGTTTGTTATTGTTTATGCAGATGCCCACCTTTTAAAACAAATTTAAAATTGAGGAGAAAAAGAAAATAAATGGCCAAAGGCCAGAAGCAAAAAGGAAGAAGCAATGTTGATGATTTGCATTGATCGAGGAAGTTGAGTAATAAGAAATCAACCGACATGTTTTTTTTTTAATATTGCGGATATAATAATAGTGTGCCCATACATCAATTCTTTTTTTTTTCATGGGAGACTCATGATTCTTCAAACTATGCTCATCCAAAATAAATATTTGTCTACTTTAAAATATTCTTCATACTGAAGCCTTTTCAGGGGCAAAAAGAATGACAAGGAGAATTCATGGCAATTAATGATCATCACCATCACTCGTGAAAAAGTGCCATAGTGATATGTTTTCTGATACATATTATAATATTCAAGAATGAAACGATAAATATCAAGATTTAAACTTATTTTTTAAAGTGTTGAGTTAGTCGAATATTCATTCATTCATCTTTTAGTTGTTCAACATAAACACTCTCAAGGTTAACATAATACAATTTAGCTCGTGTCAACAAGACAACAACAATAGTGATATATAATACAGTGCACGTCTATGCAGAGATGCATTGTTATGGTTCAAAGAATCGGTTTCTCCTGAGTTACGCCGGTTCACTTCAGAGAGTGAGCCACAACTTCAGCCCACGTGTTGATCCCATTCTCATAAATACTCTCTTTAAGTGTTCCATCTACAGTATTCATCTAGGAAATGGTTGCCTTGGTGCTATTGTCACAATTTTTTAGACTACTATCATTGGCTTCCTTTTTCCTCCCATGAGTTTAACCTAATGTGATTGTGCTGGATTCCTCGGATGAAAGTGGCCCTTGTCCAATGAACTTCCTATACAAAGAACAAACTCATTTTATGTGTTTCGTCTTGTTTTTTTTTCCCACGTTTTTTCTGTTATGTATCGAGGTTTGATGATCTATGACGGTTTGTCCCTTGTTAAAATCGTTATTCTAAACGAGATTTCAGGGTTTCCCCTCCCCCCTTTTAAAGATAAACGTTTACTGGACATTAACTTTTGGATTTAGCCCAAATAATTTAATAGATATGAAAATGTTGTGTGACAAATTTGGGGTAACTGTTCATTATATAAGATTTGGCCCTTAAACTTTGATCTAGGGGCTGAAATTGAATACAGAGTTTAGAGAAGCGATTCCTATAAATTGATCCAGTTAGTTTGGTGCAAAGATACTCCGAAGCGTCCGTGGAAATTCTGGAAGCCGTTTAAGGAAATAGACAAAATCGATGAGGGAATTTGTGATGTTATCTTTATCAGCATATTTAGAGAGGCGAATGGTAATGCCAACGCATTCGCTAAAGCTGGATTTTCTCGGCCCTGTCCTCTGGATTTCTTGCTCGATTGTTTTGTATTGTATCAGGTTCGGTTTCTGTTTCCCTTTGTTTTTTCCTTTTTTGGTCATGTTGCAGCAATCGTTTGTTTTTCTGTCTTGGGCGTCTTTCTTTGTATCCCAGCCTGCTGGCTGTCGTCCCATTGATAAAATCTATAAAACAATGTTGATTCTCTCAGTTGCATAACTGTTGTTATCATGCACGGCAAAATATCAAGATTAACGCCTTTTCGCGTCGATCCTCATAAACAGTGACCCCAATCATCAGATCTTCATACAATATGATATCGTATTATTCAGGAATAGATATAAAATTTTATATTATAAGGTGAATTTTAAAATTTTAGAATTGGACAAATTTATAAAATTTTATAAAAATAGATTTTTAACAGAAAATACATAAAAATCTAAAATATATCTGAATTTTAAAATTTTAGTGGAAACAACTATTCCCACCCTCCCTCCCTCCCCTATATCCTTCCCACTCTTGCGTGCTTGGTTATATGATATATAACTGTACCTCTTTAGAAAATTAAATATATAACGTTGTATTGTAAATATTTAAAATATGCTAAGTTTTTTTGTATTTAAATATTAAATAAAATAAAAATATATTAATTACATTTATAACAATCGGTTGATCTAATAGTCAATGGTTCAATTCATGATAATTACGAATAAAGTAAATTGTATTAAAATTATTATCTTTATCTATGTAGTACTTGAAATTTTTCTAACTGATGCCCCATTGGCTCGGTGGTTTTAGAAGAGTGGATTGATTTGCTGGGCTTTGAGCCTGGAGCTCGCTACACGCCTACCTCTAGTAACTTATTAAATATTAATAACAAATAATACTTATTTAAGAAAACCTTTTTATTATGATTATAGGGTTAATTACATATATGTTCATTTATATTTGTGTTATGTTCATTTTTAGTCATTGATTTTAAAAAAAGATATGATCACTTTCATTTTTATTTAGTTAAGACATGGTCACTCCGAGTTAACCACCGATAACAACAGTTAAATATTTTGATAGATTCATATATTTGGTTCTTTTTATTTACATATTCTCTCAATTTAGTCATATATTTAATAAATTAAAATAAATTATATATTTTTAAATAAAAATATAATATAATATTTTAAATTAAGTTAATAATAAAATATATTTAATAAGTTAATATAAAAATATTTTAAGTTAATATATATATAATTCGGGTCATGGGTACCCATTTCATAATTGTTTTGTTTTTTCTTTAAATTATATTATTTTTAATATATATATATATAATATAAAATTTAAAATTTAAAAGTATATAATATATATAATCCACACATAAAGTTTAAAAATTAAAATTACATAATTAAAATAAAATTTATTAAAATTTAAAATAAAGAAATATAATTAAATTTCAAATGTTTTAAATTTAAAATAAATATTCTAAAAATAATTTAGAACGTTAATGTGAAATAATTTAAGAAATTAAGAATTTAGAACGTTATGGTGTCAAATATTAAGAAATTAGGATTTTAAAATGTTATAGTGAAATAATTTGAGGGTTATAAATAAAAATTTAATATAAAAATGAAAAATAAAAAGTATATAATAAATCGGGTACTGGGTTGGAGGATACTCGATTAACCAACATTTTATAACCCATGCTCGACCCAGAAACTCTATCGGGTACCCGACCCAGAAAATCGAGTATTTTCACTATAAATACCTGATATTTTTTAACTGAGTTAAAGAGTCGACATGTCAACTCAATTAGGTCTATTATTTTTGAACAACCTTATTGGGATGACATGTGGCATCGTTCGATTAAAGGATTAAATTTATTTAATTTATTAGAAGATTTACTAAATTGAGAGAATATATAAATAACAGGGACCAAATGTGTGATTATAACAAAAATATTTAATTGTTGTTAACGACAGTTAACTTGGGGTGACCACATCTTAAATAAATAAAAACTAAAGTGACAACATTTTCATTAAATAAAAACGAAAGTGATCATATCTTATATTTTTTGAAACCATTGACCAAAAATGGACAAAACAAAGATAAATTATTATCCATGTAGTTAACCAATGATTATATTGTAATGTATTTTTACCCAACATATATATTGTTAGGGATGTAAATGAATTGAGTTCGAATAAATAGTTATATTTTGTTTCGGTCTATTTATATTTATGTTTGATTAGTGTTTGTTTGTTTTATTTTTGAAGGTGTTTACGTTTGGTTCGTGTTCGTATTCATTTATTTATTTTTAAAATTTTTCATTTTTTTGTTTAGCGTTTATAAATATGTCGTTTAACATTCATTAAATCTTCAACACTTTTATTTGCAAGTCAAATAAAAATGATAAAATTACTTCACTACTCTTTAAGTTTCTTAGGCTTCAAAGTTTATATTATTATCAATTTAGTTCTTATCTTCACCAATATTTAAAATATAAATAAATAAATAAATAAACCGAGAAAACAAGTTTATAAACGAGTTGATAAACGGGTTGATAAACGAGCTTAAAAATAAATCAATGAACAAGCTTATAAATTAATGTGTACCGAACACACCTCTTTTTGTATTTGCTTGTTTATTAAATAAACATAAAAAAATCATTCATATTTCTTTGTTTAGCTTAAGTTATACAAATATTTCACAAACAATTCATTGATATTTATGTATTATTTATAATATTATATGAACTCAAATAATTAATAAAAGATATATCATTTTATATCAATTGAGAATCTGAGATCCTTCTTTAAATTTATAATACTACCTTCTTCCCATAAAAATGTCTTTTATTAACTTTTAAAAAATTAAATTTTTTAAATTTTTATCTTAATTATTTTAAATAATTAAATTTTATAAAATATAAAAAAATTTAAATATTTTTATCAATAATAAATTTTAATAATAACTAGTAAAAGTTTAAAATTTTTAAAAAATTTTAATAATAAATATATTTGATTTTAAATTAATAATAAATATATTTGATAGGAGAGAGGGAAAAGGGGAATAACAAATAATAGTATAATTAAAATGGGATGATAAAAATAATTTAGAATATATGTTTTTATTTTCCGCGCTGTTTGAAGATTCCGCTATTGTTAAACGTCGTGAGGTAATGTCAAGAGTAAAAAGGCGCAAGGAAGTCAAATAACGGAGATATTAGATTAACGGAGTTGACGGTTTGCAAGAGAAGACTGTAAGAGCCATCTGATTAATAATAAACGACAAGAATTCTCTGTGATCTACCCTTGCGGTGTAACATAGGGTGAAGAGAATGTATTAAATTGGCTTCGGACGGGTGAGAGATCATTTCCTTTTCTCAGCCGAAGAAACGTCCTCCCTGTTACACTTTCTTTCTCTTGTTTTCTTATTTCAATTTTCCTCGTCTCTGCTATTTTGCGTCAACTTTCTTTTTTCTTTCTCAAGAACCAAACAGAATACTCCGATAAAAAGCTAAAAACTAATTATTGTTTGATTAATTAGATGTCGAGAATCTAAATTCTAAAGAAAGCCGTGCGATACAGGAGAAGGAAGAGAGAAAAATCTGAGAATTTGTGAGGTCTGTAATTGAGAGAAAAGATTGATTTTATTTTGGTTTACTGTAATGGATTTTCATTTTCTATTTCAATGGCTGATACAAGCAATCTGCAATTCTTTTTTTTTCTTTCAGATTTTTTAGATACAATCAAAGAAATTTTGGAACATTTTTGCTGGTTTTAGTTGATTTTGAATATTTTGTTTCTATTATGTGGAAGAGATCTGAAACAACGGCATATTTGAATGATTTTGTTTCTGATAAACATTTTTTCCTCTCTAATGACAGATAAAATTTTTACGACTGCAAAGCTACTTTCTGAAGAATTTTCGACTAAGTTAATATGCATAGAGGCAGATCAACTGCTATATACGAGCGTCATTTTCTTACACGATCAAGAACCTGATAATCTAAGTATCTATTCTAAACCTACCTAAAATGATTAACCCGCCATTAATCTGTTTTCATATCATCGGTTGCAGTTTATTTCCCCTGGATCTTCTTCTTTCTTTCTTTTTAGCATGTTCGGTGCTTTAGTAACTGTTTGTTTATATCTAGTTTTATTTGATTAAATATCGAAGATTTCTCCGACAGAGGCGATTTTTCTTTCTCTACAGACCTCCATTTTATTTATCTACTGAGCATTGAGAGTATGTATTTCAGATTTTATATATTTTTTCCAGTTTGCTCTTTTTTCCCACGGAGTTTCAGACGTAAGTTTCTTCTTAGTCCTTCACTGCCCCCCCCCCTCTTCCCTTTTCAAGTAGTCTGATGAAGAGCTTGACGTTTTGTCGCTAAGGTTTTTCCTCCAGATTAGATCTTTACTTTGATTTCGGCTTATTCAATATCTATCTCTAATTTGCGCTTCCTTAAAATCTCCACTCGGAGATGTTTTTCTTCTATTGCTATGATGTTCATGGTTCCGTTGATTTTTTGTCCATGTCTTTAATTTTCTGGGTGCTAAACATTTTAAGTACAACTTTCCTGGTTCTGTTTCTTCCAAGTAAGAACTATGTTTCGTGTCGACGCCCTCTTAAACTATTTTGTTGTTTTATTGAAGCTATTTCTATTCTTAATTTTCTTAACCCCGCCTAAAATTCTCTTCATCTCCATTATCCTTTTAATCCATTCAATATCTTATAAAAATTGTTTAATCATAGTTGCTGGTTTTCCATCTTTATTTCCCTTCCAAAAGATGCCAAGACCGTTCGATGCTTATTCTTCCCCATCTTTAACGTCTCTGCACAAGGCCGCTTTCTTTCTTTCTTTCTTTCCTCTGATTTTTTCTTCTTCAAATCTTCTGGAGAAAAAATTCGTAGCCGTACAATGTGCATACTCTAATGATAAGCTGAAATAAAATTTGTTTGAAATTGCATGGACGTTTTAAGAGAAGCCTTATTCAAATTCTCTTGATCGCTTTATTGTTTTGTATCCTTTCGGTGCTTGTACTTTAATTATGATGTTGAACCCGGAAAAAAGCTCAATTTCTTCTTCAAATCTTCTGGAGAAAAATTCGTAGCCGTACAATGTGCATACTCTAATGAAGCTGAAATAAAATTTGTTTGAAATTGCATGGACGTTTTAAGAGAAGCCTTATTCAAATTCTCTTGATCGCTTTATTGTTTTGTATCCTTTCGGTGCTTGTACTTTAATTATGATGTTGAACCCGGAAAAAAGCTCAATTTGAAATAATTTATAATTTTTAATATTTTGCTTCGACAATGGGACATGTATGCAGAAAATGATGGAAAGGGACTCTTTAAGGAGCAGTAACAATGGTAATAGCACCAATCACAACAGAGATAAAGTCAGAGGTGATGCAGGATTGTTAAGATCTAGCTTAGATTCTGCCAAACAAACGGCGTCGTCTTCTAATTTTGTTTTGCAGTGGGGGAATCGGAAGCGTCTAAGGTGTATGAAGATCCAGGTCAAAGACGATCAATCCGGACCAGTTAACCGAACCATTGTTCGGGTCGATAAGGACTCTTCAAATCAGCCTAGCAATAATAACAATCACGGGACTGGGTGTTTTAACCTCCGTCAACGTCCTGCTTCTCCTCAGGCTTCGCCAGCTAAGCGCATTCTCAGGTATTGTACTATATTTACAAATTACGCTTTTCTACCGAGTTTATTATTTATTCAAATTTACCTTGGAGGGTTTGGCATTGCGGTGCGTGTAATATACGCTCCGTTGAGATTGGGGTCGGATTAGGGTCATAATATATGGTTTAGTATTGGATAATTTAACATCTTTTTTGTGTTATCAATTATCTTGGTTTTACGTTATATTTCCAGTTCAAATTGGCGCGAGTAAAATGATTATAAAGAACCATATTTCCAGGTCCCACTTCTTTAATCCCTGCCTTTTTTTTCTCTCCATCAAAAGAGAGAAAAAACCGATCTGGATTATAACCTATTTAACTAAACCGAATCGTTTAGTGAAATGATCATTCTACTTGACTGTCCCTTCTCTGTTCTGTAAACTGTGCATCCCTAGATCGCTATGAAAATAGCTAAATATCTGAACTTCTCATCAAGACAAAACAAAAATAGTAAATTAACAACTCCCCCTATTTAAAAGCTAACCCCCAAACTCTCACCCTTTCCTTAAAAGCCCAAAGTTAAGAGGGGAAACCACCACCATTTTCTACGTAATACTTGTCTAGATTCTATCCAGGTCTCTTTCACCCACATGGCCACATCCGATCTACATCACTCCAAGGTTACGTTTGTAATTCTACATTTAAAGCTTTTTTTTTTCTTTTACAAAACTCAGCATTTGATTCTTTTTTCCAATTATTATAATATTATCTTGACAATATGGTTTTTATCTTCAGGAAGTGTGAGAATTCCAATCCTATGAGAGGCCAAAGCAACGGTGGTGTAAGGGGATTCGCCTCGCCAGACAGCGCGCACGAGAAGAGAGGCGGTAACCAGAACAATTACAATCACTACCACACCAACAACAATGATAACCACCACCACCGCAACAAATCAACTGCATCTTCAGAGACGGCTCACGATAGCAGAAAAGGTGGGTCGTCTTCCGGGAGCGGTGAGGTAGCTCCTGCACCCATCGTCTGGCCACCTAAGTTCATGATTGCTTTAACTAATAAAGAGAAGGAAGAAGATTTCATGGTTCTTAAGGGATCGAGATTGCCACAACGACCTAAAAAACGGGCCAAGTTTATTCAACGGACTCTCAATGTAAGTCTGTCTTATTCCTTTATTTCTAAATTAATTTATAATTAATCTAGAATAATTAATTTTGAACCACACGTAATTTTAAATTTTAGACGAACTGAAATTGGATCATTTGAAGGATAATTTTTTTAATATGTTATGTTGAATTAGAAATAGATAAGCCAGTAGCTGTGGATTACGTGAAATAAATAAATAATGACTTGGTTTGCTTTTATTATGTAAATAGATTTTAGTAATAATAATCTTTTTCTGGCATTCTCTTACGGCCTTACCAACCAGATAGAAATTAGAAAAAAATAATTTTTATTAAGTTAAGATGAGTATAAAATTATATTTATTTTAAATATTTTAAATTATTTGATAATAAACGTTTAATCATTTATATTATAGTCATTATTATTCAAATTCAAAATCTAATACATGCCAGACAAATATTTGACATAGCCTTATTTGTTAAGTACCAACTGAAAAAGCTTGTGACCCGGTCCTAATTTAATTGTCAACTTGTGCCTTGTGTATTGGTATTGTGCCTGCTCTAATTTCGAGAGATTATAGGTTTAGCTTTAACGTATAGATGCTTGGACATTTTTAGTTTTTTTTTTAAATATATATATATATATATATTATTATATGAAAAAATCCATTAAATGAAACCTCAAAAATATGACTTGTTTCTTTTAAAATGAAAAATTAAATATTTTCAACTAGTAACTTGTTTTTCATAAATTTGAGACAATATGTATTAGTTTAATATGTGTTGACGAATGCCTTGTTGATAAAGGACAAATGAATTGGGAGGATATACACGTGTAATTCAAAAAAGGACGAAGTAAGCAACCGACAAAAGAAGGCACAATGAAGGCATTATTGTCTAGGGGCTTTTATGAAATATGTTGTTATTGTAGGGGCTATTTTTATATATTTGCATTTGCAGTTAGTTGTATTCTTATTTATTAAATGGGTCGTTGAATTGTTGACTTTTGACTAGACCACTTTTGGAAGGGAAAAAACTCACACACCATGAGCAATAAAAAAAATGTATAGCAGTAGTTTCCACCTGTAATATTATCTTAACATCTCAAAGCGTCTTTTCTTGAAAAACAATATTTCAATAATCCAGACTTAATAATTATGCCCTTTGGTGTGCTTATTTTTGCAGCTGGTAAGTCCGGGGACATGGCTATGCGATTTAACCCTCGAGCGATACGAGGTCAGGGAGAAGAAGATCACAAAGAAGGTATAATTTTTTTCTATATATAAAATTAACTCAAAAGATTCAGTTTAATCTTTGATGTACACGTGACCCAATAATAAATCAACACGTGGTGGCTTAATAATGCATTTTTTATGCGAAAAATAAAAATAGTAAATACTAAATTAAATCTTCAGATGAAGAAATCAAGATGTATATTCACTCTATTTTCTTTTATCTCATATCTAGAAATCCTTTTAACGTAATGATCGGGTGCACAGAGACCAAGAGGTTTAAAAGCTATGGGAAATATGGAATCTGAGTCTGAATAGAAAGCTCGGAAGGCGCTGTTTAAAGGTTGTTTTTTTTGGGAGTTTTTGCAATATGAATGTCGACGATTTGATGATGATGAAATGTTCAGAGGCAGCTGATTTTTCTTTTTTTGGTTGACGATGAGACTAGCGTTTAAGCTGTGTAAATGATTATCTTTATTTCATATGTGAGATGAATGGGGAAAGATTTAAACTTTGGCTAAAAATTTATGTTCTTGCTCTTGGGATGCAAGTAAATGATTAATAGAGGACATTGTTCGTCTGTGACATGAATTGAAAATTTTCTGTAACGAGTTTGCGATTAGCGTTAAGTCTAAACTATTTAATTTTATTCGAGCTGTGCCACTCAGCTCTGGAAAGATCAAGTAGTGGAATAGTTAATAAATTTGTTTTTGTGTTAAAATAGTTTTTCTTTTTTTCATATTTAATTAATAAATTTGAAGTACAAACCAAATTTTATTAAGGAGGAACTTTATTATTATTATTTTTGGATAAATAGAAGAATATTATTACCAAAAGGAACAATAGCCTGCTACAGTACAATCATCAAATAAAACAGAACAAATCAGAATGGAGAATGAACATCCAACTTACATAAAAGGTTAATCAAAACCCTAATGATTACAAAGAAAAAATATTAACTCTATCTAGTTTATTAATTTTTCTATCTCTAAGTTGAATACTAACAATCTCCTTGATCGTTTTAAAAATATCATCAACTTTTCTGGAGGTACCTTGGAATAACCTTTTGTTTTTTTCTTCCCAAAGAGAATAGAGAAAAGCAACTCAAGCAATCTTCAAAATAGTAACTAGGAGGGACTTACATTTCCAAGCAGCACATGCCGAGGACAACAAATTGTCCCAAGATAATGAAGATCTTTGCAAGCCGGTGAGTTGTAGGATGTCTTTCCAAAGTGAACTTGACAGCTGACATTCAATGAACAAGTGGGCTCTTGTTTCTCGGGTTGTGTTACACAAAACACATAATCCGTCACTAACAATTCCCATGTGTTGGAGTCTGTCTTTGGTTAGAAGTCTGTCCAAAATGACCATCCAAGCAATCATGCTATCTTTGGGAATGTGTAGAGGAAACCATATCAAGTTATGTCAGGGAACTTTGTCTTGCTTTGGACGAAACTCTTCCCAAATTGTTGGTTTCTTAAGGAAGTGTTCGTCCTCTTATCATAGAATGGATTTAATATTGTAAATTTCTTAAACACGTTTCTCTCGTCTAAAATCAACGCTATTCGAGGCTATACTGTTTCACAATACGTTGCTTAGCTTTGTTTAGTATGAATTTTGCCACTGATTTACGGGTCATTGCAGTCACCCGTATTGTAAAAATTTATTATGAAATCGATTGTCTCAAATTCATTTTTTAAGATATTATAATTTAAAATTTTACTTGAATGATCTTATGTATCATCTCACCGAATTTATTAATAATTCATATCATCAGAATTTAGTGAATATGAACAAATAATTTAAATAAAAAATAAATGAACAAACAATGTTCATAGAACCTTGTATAAGTTGATGAGACTCCAAACGGGAAAAACGAAATTTCTTGGACGAGAATCAATGCAACGGACGGAACATGATTTTCTTCAGTTTACTGGCACACATGGAACTTCTTTGTACCAACATCTTGCCTAATTCTTCGAACAAATTTTCTGGGAAGTTCACCTGAATAAATAATATATAATGTACGTGACTAAAACAATTCTGTCGTGGACAAACTGGAGATGGACATGTAGCTTATGTAACAGAGTTTATCTCCAAATCAACTCATTGTTAATGGAGAATAATTTGATTTATTTCATTGTTTGAATGAGATTATAAATAGAAGAGATGGCCCACGGTGTGAGCCAGAATTAGGTGAAGAATCTGATGGAAAGAAATAGTGAAGAATGGGGTTTCCTTTTCGTTGTCAGTGCAGAATAAGAATAATGCTATGAAAATGGTGTGGGGTTTAATTATTTATCATCGACTTGGAGTGTTCAATTAACCCACCACCTTAGTATCTGCAATGCACTTCAGTTGTGATCTGGCCAATAAATTAAAACAACATCGACGGATCCACGTGTATTTAGAGTTGAATATGTATCTATCATATGTGATAAAGTCCAACTGTAGGCAATTCATAATTCTGACTGCCGGAGGATTTCTACGAAAACTGCTCTCAATCTGGCGTTGGGGCAACCTACTACCTTACTTCCCCTCACCCCATTACATATGGAAATAGGATCATCTAATGTATCTATCATAAAATTTAAATTTATTTAAAATAATTATTTATTATATTATTTATGTTCATCTTAAAATTTTATTTAAAATTTTTTATATTATTAACATACATATGCATACCATCAAAAATATTTTCGGATCTGCGGCCTTAAAAACCACTCAAGGCACCTACTGTCATATCCTTTTACTCGTGTGTTTTGTGTTATGCTATAGCGTCATCCCATAATTGCATTCGAAGGCAATACTTGATGGATCAAAATTTGGAATATCAGTGTTTATAAAATAGTATGGGTAAATTACTCTTGCGGTCATTGGATTTTTAAGGTTCTTTCACTTTGGTTATTGAACTTTTAAAATTTACATTACGAACACTAAATTTTAAATTCGATTGCATTATGATCACTATCCATAAGAAATGTTCATGTGACACATTGGAGTCTTGATCTAAAAAAATATCAAAGTTCCATATTTACGACCATCGTCGAGACTAATTTTTTTATAAACTAAGTGGTAGTTGATCAATCTCAACGATAGTAAATATTTATTTGATCAAAAGATTAACATTATTTGATTTTAAATTGAACAAAGAATTGATAATGAAAGTTATTTATATGTCTATTACATGAAATAATAACTCTAAAGTTATATTTATTATCTGACATGAAAGTCGGAACCAACCAAGAGAAGGGAAAACATGAAATAAAAAAAGAAGACAAAAAGCAAAGGACCCCATTAGTTAATGTGCCATGGTAGTGCCTAGTGAGTGATGGACAATGCTCTCATCATTATTGCAAATATTTGATGATTTGATGCTCCAATTCAATTTTAGAATCAGAGTATGTAGTGGGTAAACGTGACTTCAAAATGTGATCAAACCTTTAAAGCAAAGCAAGGCCAAAAAGTTAGAACTGGAAAAGTCCGATCTGATTGTTCTGAGCGAATATGGTACTGTATTGTTTGGCTGCCGAGAAAACGCCAGGAACAACGCAAGCGCACACACACAAACAACAAATGCAATAAGCAAGGAGAAAGAGTGAAATATATGTATAAATAAAAGATTATATAGTAATAAAAATACTGAAGCAAATAAGTCCAAGTATCATCGACCATGAAATAGTCTGTGCAGTACATCACATGGCTATCCATCTCCCTCGACTATGATATAAGGTACTCCTAGACATACTGTGTTACTAATGAAATTCAAAATCCAAAAAGAAGGCCTATATAAATGAAAAATCACGGAGGGTCATCCATAGCCGGAGTAAACATCCTTCACATCCCGAGGAGGAGAACCATGAGGGCGGCAAAGAAAACAGAAACGAATGAGATGGGAATGGAGACGGAGATGGCTCCTGAGGTGGGACTCGGAGCTGGTGCATCAGCAGCCATAGCTGAGCCCATGAGAGCACAAACAGCGACCAGAACAAGCATCAGAGAACCCATTTGCTGCAATGCAGATGTGTTTGAGTTTGGCAAGGATGAGAGGTGGGGTCTCGTATATAGACAGAGAATGAGGAGGAGGGAAAGGTCGGGCAGCTGCCCGGGCTTCCACCATGGATATTGTTGCCTTAATATTGTTACACCTTGCCCTGGGACTCTTAATCTTAGCGAAGAGTTTCCTTAACTTTGCTCATTTAATTATACGCGTGTAAATCTTTCAATAGCCGCCGTATTTTTATTTTAACTTAAAATATATATTTTATCTTTATCATCATTTAAAATTTATTTGAAAAAATACCTTAACTTATAATACATTTAAACATTACCATCAAATGTTAACGGTTAGTGACTTAATTGTAACAATTTAATAGTTAGATGGTATGATTGACAAAATCGAAAGATTGATGGCAAAAGTAAAAATGCTAAATAGTTAAGTGATCAATGGAGTAGTTTACCCTAATAATAATGGCCACTCAAATTGATTTATTTTTCTGAACTTGTCTGTACAAACAGATCAGTTTTGGGAGTTCCAAAAAAATTAGGAGAGTGTACAAGTCACACACACACACACACATCATGCATGACTGAAGAGGGTTAAATTTCAGCTTTGTATGCAATGACTAATAAAATCAAGGAAAGGACCTGATATGCTACCCCCAAAATCCCATGAATCCAATCTCCAATCTGCAAACTCTAATTTAGCTTCAAGGTCAAAATCCGGCAGTGGCAGGATCTATGTTTACTTCACAATCAGAACCCCAAAGCCTTTGGTGCTATCCGTAATAAAGGCTCCATAGCACTCGGTGCAAATTTTCTGGCGAAAAGGAAACAAGTCGAGCTTGGTTGATCGTTGTACCTACATTCGTGACCTTCGTGGATTCTCTTGAAAAACTCTTCTGTAATGTCTGATCTACCAAATGTAGCAGGATGAGGTCCACCCCTTGACCAATCAACCCATGTGATGCTTCTATTTGCCAAGTGATTTGGTGACTGGATTGTTAACATGGTGGGGAAGTAATGCTCATCGACGTAACATGCTGGTCGGCAGAACTGTTCAAACTTCGGATAAAATGTAACATCTTCCACCATGTTGATTGCAAGCTTTCGGTTAACTTCAAACCACTGGGACCCCTTACGCCACTTGCTGATATTCACCTCAGGAGCCATATTATGATTGTAACGTCCTCTACCAAAAGGCCCAGGGTCATCAAATGCACCCATGTAGCTATATTTGGATTTCATTATGTACTGGTAGACGACACTGAAATTGTATACCGGTATGCAAGATTCGGAGAGAAGGATAAACCATTCATTGGACATGTCGAGCAAGGCATTAGCAAGGAGCCTTCTCTCAGCATCACACATGCTCATCCTTCCCCATTCAGCAGCCTGCCAAGGAAGCAAATACAGAAATCAGGAACTCCTCTACCCCCAAAAAAAAAGGCGGGGAAAGGCTACAAAATGTATAAAAAATTATATTTGAACTATTGTAGAACAAGTGCCAATAAATTATTTAATGAGGATGGGAATTAAAAAAATCAGCAAGAACAACAAATTGCTTAGGTGTAACTGAAAGAGAGATGCTTAATACAACAAAACAACAGATAATGACAGTACCCAGGAGCAGAAGAAAATTGCCCCTTAGGCTTAACCCTCAAATACAACAGCCAACAATTTTACATAGTAATTATAGGTCATACCTAGGAGTTATCACAAGAGACGCTTAACACCATCTGATTCCAAAGAGTTGAGAAGAAGACAAAGATAAAAACACAAACTTTTACAGTAAGAATTGAACCATTCAGTTTCAAGATTAGGAGCACTAATTTTCATATCTGTCCTAGTTTGATATGTTCGGCAGAACTTCTACGTCTTTTTCCCTCTTAATCAGATTCTTCTATCTTCCAATGGAAACCCAAATAAATAATTACCTCTTTCACACCTAGTTTCACTCCAGGACCATGATTTTAAAGCCAAGCAAGAATTCTGTGAAATCTCTTCAGTGAAATTCAAATCACAACACATTGTCCATCTCCTACATCGTACTAACTCCTAAAGCAAGCCTTTAGTTGACAATAAGCACCCATTCTCCCACACTCAAAGCTTGAAAGGTCAATAAACCATACAGTTTTCTGTCACTCTTACATGACATTGAAAATGATTTCGCCTCTCTAGTTGCAACAAGCATCGATAACAAGTTTTGATATAATATGAGGGGCCTTAAACCATATTGCAGTTTGAAACACAAAATAAACACGCAGTATTCCTATTATCTCATGCTATCAATATGGGTACATACATGTATGCCTATAAACAGAAAAAACTGCAATTTAAGGCAGTCCTGTTGTTGTTGAAAAGAAAGAGAAAAAGAATGATGACAGGCCATAAGGCAGAAGTTCCACGCATAGCCTTCAAAAACCAAATTTCTGATAATTTATGTAAGCATGATATAAACTTTCCAACACTAAGAATTCCAAGACATCAAAATTTTAGAAGGTACCCGAGCATGCTATTTTCACTTTCAGCATAGAAGGTACAGATGAGAAATTCTAAACAGAATAAGAACAAAGCAACGGAACTAATTCACCATGAATTACATAAGCAAGTAAAAACAAACACAAACCACGCCACAGAGGAACAAATAATAAAATTCAGAAAAAAAAATTGAAAAATAAGATTAAATAATGAATGGGAGTTGAAGTAGCATACTTGACTCGGGATTTGTCTCCGGTAGAATACTGAAGAACGAGGGAACTCGGCCTTGAAGGAGGGCAGTGAATGAATATAGATGGAATAAAGGCCTTCGTGGCCCTTGAAAAACCTCTCCCAAAGAGGAGCAAGTGGCAAGGGCCCCTTGGTCAAGAACATAAAAGCAATCTTCGGAAGTCTATTAAATGGGTACTTCTTTATTCGCGGCACGAAAGACGCCCTCCATAATAACTCGTTATCACTCATTGAATGAAGCAAATTGGTTGGGGGTTTCCTCCAATTTTCTAAACTATTTGATTGTTCATCACACGGCACAAAATTAGACTTCACTGTAGTTACCGCGCTATAAATCCCGGAACGCCGGATCGTATAAATAGTGATGATCGAAAAAGTAATACAGAGAGCAATAAAGAACCCAAACAACTGAAGTGCCCTCCATGGCAGAGTCTTATATTGGTTTGTCCTTGTTGAACCCCCCTGATCCTTGCCTTCCTCTAATGACCCAATTCTTGTTTGCATCTTTCAAGACGACACTTGAACCCGAATTCAATTTCTGAGGACAGATCCAGAAACCACGTTCTCTGTTTCCCGTTCAAATGCAGTAAGCTAAAAGCTCTGGCATCTTAAATCCCTAAACGACTAATTCAGCCAAAAACAAACAAACAAATCAAATCTCCGGGGGTTTTCGCATCTAAATATCTTAAAATAAATAACCCTTTTTGACAATAGAAACAATCATATAGTTACAGATCTAGAGACGAAAAGGTGTACTACCTGACCCAAAAAATATGAATACTCGAACAAAACTACAAAAGGGTATTGGATAAACAGTGTTCCTATCGAGACCCTTAGCCAAGATCAAGGTAGAGAACTAATCAGATGGAAGTGTTTTCTCCCCATCAGAAACCGTAGGAAAAGATGGTGAATATACCCCGTAAGAGTATAAAAGAGGGGTTTTTTAAATTATATTTCAGATGCTTGAATGGTGGCCAGATTAGAATCGATCATCATCAATATCGGAAGAACAGTGAAAAAGATTTGGCAGAGGAGGACAGAAAATTGTATGTAAGAGAAGAAGAATAAAGAGAACTAGAGAAGGTTGGCTAGTCTATAGTTTGGAATAATAACATAAATGAAAATTCGTACTTGGATTTTTCAAGCTTCATTGCACGGGAAACATATTGTAAGGCCCCAGGCCTAGGAGGAGTGAATAAATTTCATTTCCCTTCCGGACTTGACATCAATCTTAAAGGTATTTTAAAATGGCTTGAATTTTATACACTCATAACGCAACGTGGGTCAGCCGTTAATCAACCTGGTGTTTTTTTTATCTTTTATTTTAGAGAAAATCGCCTCAGTGACCAAAAAAAAGTTATAATATACGATTTTAACCAATTTTTTTTGAATTTGCCAAAATGACCAACAAAATCGCAACGCGAAATAAAAATCGCAACGCGATCCCCAGAATCGCAAATCAGTTTCCAAAATCGCAACGCGATTCTTGAAAATCGCAATGCGATAGTACAAATTCGCATTGCGATTTTCCAAAATCGCAACGCGAATATGAAAATCGCATTGCGATTTTCCAAAATCGCAACGCGAATATGAAAATCGCAACGCGAACACATAAATCGCAACGCGTATCCGTAAATCGCAACGTGTATCCGTAAATCGCAACGCGTATGGGTAAATCGCAATGCGTATCCGTATATCGCAACGCGTATCCGTAAATCGCAACGATAATACATAAAATCGCAACGCGTATCCGTAAATCGCAACGCGATATTTAAAGCGCCATTATAATCGCTACGCGTATTTTATTTTCAAATTACAAAAAGAATATTAAGACAAAATCCCGTAATCGCAACTCATAACCTAAAATCACAACTCAGTCCCATCTCCATCTCTCACTCTCTACGGCGAAGAAATCCGTCCCCATCTCTGAAGATTTCCGTCCCCATCTCCGGCGAAATCCCTCACAACCATTCACGGTCAGAAATCCCTCACAATATTTAGAAATGGAAAATCAACCTCAGAGGGTTAGTTTTTTAATTATTTTATTTTGAAATGTTTGCATTATTGTAGGTTTTTCATATTGAAACTGATGATAAGTTTACTGGTCATTTCAATAATAGATTAACCATTTCACTTAGATTTCATTTCGCGTTACGATTCTGTCGTTGCGATTTTCATTTCGCGTTGTTATTCTCTCGTTCCGATTTTCAAGTTAGTATTTGTCTTTGTCTTTGTTCTGTCTTTTGGTTGAAGTAATGCAATCCATTCAAGTTTCAATTTGCAGAAGATCGCAACGAGATAAATGAAATCGCAACGAGAGAATGACTGTCGCAACGAGAGAAATGAAAAGCGCAACGAGAGAATCGCAACGCGAAATGAAAATCGCAACGAGAGAATCGCAACGCGAAACCAAAATCGCATTGCGATTCTCTCGTTGCGATTTTCATTTCGCGTTGCGATTCTCTCGTTGCGATTGTCATCTCGCGTTGCGATTCTCTCGTTGCGATTTTCATTTCAACCAAAAGACAAAACAGTGTTGCAAATTTTAGTTTCAAGAATAACTACTACTTTTTATGTTTATTGTTTTTGGTATATCTCACAGTGTAGTTTTTGGTATATCTAACTTGGTATGTTTATTGTTTTTGTAGAAATTTTTTTCGGCTCAATGACCTTGAGAAATAAAGTCAGCCTGGCCACTACAATTGCAAAGAAGCTTTCACCTGCTCAAAGACAATTGTTTGAGGAAACCTGCTTCGGGCCATGGCTGAGAGTACAGCATCCGGGTGGAGATGCTAATTTGACCCATTTGTGGCTTCAGACCATGACATCAAATCTACCCGACAGTATACAACGTGGTGAGGAAGAGATATGGTTTCATTTTCCACCAGCGTATACTTGTTTTGGGCGGAAGGAGTTCTGCTTAATCACTGGTCTACGATTCGGACACGATGATGTAGGCCGGTACACTCGTCATATCGCCCGCCCATCATGGTTTCCCGGGTTTTTCCGGATGAGTCAATGGAGAAGCCGAACCTACATGTCGACGACCTGAAGAAATTGTTTAATAAGAAAGTTGGTTTCACTCGGATGGATGACGTCGATGTTGTCCGAGTATGCCTTCTACTACTTGTGTATGCCGGCTTTTTAGGCAGAGAGGCCAGACAACCTATTCATCGGGAGCTAATATTTGGTAGAGGACCTGAATGCATGGAATCTGTTTCCGTGGGGTTCGTATATGGAAAGCTACCTGGACTAAGTTGTCGTCTGCCTTTGATGACCGCAAAAGTTTGCGGGGCGATGGGTCCAAATACACTTTGTCAGGCTTTGTTTGGGCCTTTAAGGTAAGAATTTCTATATAATGTTTCTAAAATTATAATTAATTATTTAACAATTACTAATTTTGTATTATATTGTTTGTAGATTTGGATATTCGAGGCTTTCCCCAGCATGCGTACATATGCAATAAAAACGTCAAATGATATTCCCAGGGCTATTTCCTGGAAGAGGAAAACTCTGTTGGATTGGGAAGACTTAATACCATATGCCACAATAAATAATGTAAGTTAACACAAACTTTCATATAATATATAAACAAGTTATTAATAGTAGACGTTTAACTTTGTTTGAGTTTTTATATTTTAGGAGGCTAACATTCCATTACAAAGACTGACACCCACGGAGGAAGAGCTTGCCACTGATTGGTGGCAAGCTAGTCAGAATTTTTTTGATGGCACGGATGATGAGCAGCATCCACTTCCTCCAATTCGAGAGCCATCACCTCACCTAGAGCCATCACCCGATCGACCCGACTATACACCTCTAGACGAGAGCCATCACCTATCCCGTCACATCATCGAGCCTCTTCTCCACCATCACCTCATGATAGGCGACCGGCAAAGATGCCACGACTCCTATCTCCCTGTTCTCCACCTCCACCTCAACGGATGAGTCAAGGGAGTTACGTGATGAGGTCAATGCCTTGCGTGAGGAGATCGGTACTCTACGCGATAACGATGGTGCATGGCGTGTGGAGGTGTCAACTTTACGTGGTGAGGTTGCCGCTCTACGTGAGATGATAGTATCGTTGCAGAATGAGGTTCATACTCTACGCAACGAGGTAAGTTTAAGATTTTCCATATTTAACTTAATGATAAATTTACTCATAATTTCACTTAGATTAGCCATTTCACTTAGATTGCTTAGTAAATTTATTCGGTTGCTGCCAATTCTGCTAAACTGTGTATTCTTTAACACTGTGAAATAGTTTGTCTTTGTTTTGTCTTTTGGTTGAAAGTAAATTTTTCGGTTGCTGCCAATTCTGCTAAACTGTGTATTCTTTAACACTGAAATAGTATTTGTCTTTGTTTTGTCTTTTGGTTGAAAGTAAATTTGTTCGGTTGCTGCCAATTCTGCTAAACTGTGTATTCTATAACACTGTGAAATAGTATTTGTCTTGTTTGTGTTTTTGGTTGAAAGTAAATTTGTTCGGTTGCTGCCAATTCTGCTAAACTGTGTATTCTTTAACACTGTGAAATAGTATTTGTCTTTGTTTTGTCTTTTGGTTGAAAGTAAATTTATCCATTCAAGTTCAATTTGCAGAAGAAGAATAGTTTACTTTCGCAACACGAAACTTAAAATCGCAACGCGAAACCAAAATCGCAACGCGAAATGAAATCGCAACGACAGAATCGCAACGCGAAACCAAAATCGCAACGACAAGATCGCAACGCGAAACCAAAATCGCATTGCGATTTTCATTTCGCGTTGAGATTCTTTCGTTGCGATTTTCATTTCGCATTGCGATTCTGTCGTTGCGATTTTCATTTCGCGTTGCGATTTTGGTTTCGCGTTGCGATTTTAAGTTTCGTGTTGCGAAAGTAAACTATTTCTTCTTCTGCAAATTGAAACTTGAATGGATAAATTTACTTTCAACCAAAAGACAAAACAAAGACAAATACTAACTTCAGGGTATTAGTTTGAAACATATTTTTCTTTGTTATCTGATGCATTTTGTGAACTATGATAGATATATGACTTGGGTGAATACAATGCAAGTTTGAAACATTTGTCTTTGTTTTCACTGTTTAAATATCATGTCTGTTTATTTACTGATTTTTGTATTTAATTATTTAGCGGCCCGATAGAGTGGATGATTTACGTCGGGTTATGCTTGCACGACGGAGTTCACGCATCACAGCGTGCACGTGCTATTAAGTCTCCGTACACCCCAATAGTGCGAAGACACCGCAAGAAGCCCGACTCGCCTGTCATCCCTCAAGTCCACTCCTATCGTTGAGAGGCCCCCCTATCATTCCTCGAGAGTCCCCCCTCCCACCGTTCAAGAGGCCACTGTCATCATTGAAGAGGTCCCTCCCACCATTCAAGAGCCCGATTCGCATGGCGTCATATGTAGGCTTCTTGAGAAACCCTCTGACGCCGGACATGATGGATTCAAGTTGGCTCTTGTATGAGTTACCGGCCAGTACCATACCGGTATCTGAAGAGGAGAGGGAACAACTACCGGACACAATTCTGGATAACACCCTTTGGGCTAAGACGCTGTTGATTTTATCTACATGAGCGGAGCCAGGGGTGTTTCACTGACATATGCAAGCTCACCGATGATATCTATTTGTTGCTTGATCGGTCTTGGTGGGGCGTATTATTAGGGGTCGAAGACAATGGCTATTTCGATGGGGGGTAAGTCTTATATTTTTCTTATATTTCAATTTGATTAATTTTTTTTAAATTTATGTAAGTCACTAATATATGTCTTTTTTTGTAAAACAGCATATCGATGCGTGGGTGACACGTCTTCTAATAATAAAAACTTAAGAAAAATAAAATACGATATACAATTATGCCGACGTCTTTTCACGCCGTTCACTTGAAGAATGCACGAAATGAATCATTTGATTTGGGCAATGGACAAGCTAAACTTTATCCTACATGGTGGGAGGTCGATAAGGTTAGTATTTATTTTAGATTGAGTTTAAAGGTTTTATGAAATAAGT